GAGAATTTAGGAAAAAAAAAAAGTTAACAGTTGTAGTGTGAGATAGATTATGTATGTCCAGGAACACAGAATTAAAAAAAAAAAAAAGAGCGCCTGGCGGTGGTGGCACATGCCTTTAATCTCAGCACTCAGGAGGCAGAGCCAGGTGGATCTGTATGAGTTCGAGGCCAGTGTGGTCTACAGAGTGAGTTCCAGGACAGGCACCAAAACTACACAGAGAAACCCTGTCTCGAAAAAACAGAAAAATTAAATAAAAAAAAAAAAAGGAGCAATGTCTTCAAATATATCAGAGGTCAATGCCTAATATTTTCAAATGTGTTTTCATTTACTGGGGATATTTATTTTGCCAAGTTCTGTGTGAGTTTAAGAGTGGAGCATGCTGTGAGTTCAAGGCCAGCCTGGTCCACAAAGCTAGTTCCAGGACAGCAAGGGTGGCTGAGAACAGAGCAATCTTGTTTAAAAAAAACCAACTCCCCCCCACTCAAAAAAAGGAGCATGGATGGTCATTGTACAAAATGCAATGTTTCTGGCATGTTTTTTTATTTCATGCTTTTTTTCCCTAAGTGTGGTAATAATATACTAAATTTTACTCAAACTTAAAAAAAAGTAAAACATGTTTTATTTTTCCTTTACTCAAATATTGGCAAGCACAACTGTAAACTTAAGTTCATCAAAATTTTGTTCAGGGATCCATTTATAAACTTGTTCTGACTCAGGTACACATCCAACAAGGAGCATTTATAAATTTTAGTTCAACTTGTTGCATAAGTGCTTGATTCATCTGAAAATCCATTTTTGTTGTTGTTGTTGTATAAGTTTAGGAATCCATTGTCTTCATTCCCCACAAACAGGTAACAAATTCCCTCATATTTAATTAGCAAACACTCCCTTCTGCATCATCTGAAATGCTTCCCCTGCTGTATATCACCTTACACAAGCATGTAAGTTCATGTAAGATGTTTTATGTATTGTACTTTGATGACGTCTTGAATACTATAGCAGCACCTATAATAGCCAGTAACAAATTAAAATGTAACTTTAGTTTGAAAATCACTCTTGCTCTTCAGATCAAACCTAAACTTCTTTGCTATTAATTATCTTAAGCTGTTCTGGATGTTGGGATTCCTGGCCACTCCTCCATTTACATGACCGCATATGTGCAGTTCAGTAGCCAAGTAAGGGGCCTTATGTCCTATGTAATCTACGTGCTGTGTGATCATGCAATCTGCGCATGTGTGATGTAGCTCCATAATCCCATATGCACATGTGCAGGGAAATACATAAGAAGCAGGACACAGACCCCCTCCCCTTCCTCTTCTTCCTTCTCTCTCTCTCCTCTCTCTCTCTCTCTCTCTCTCTCTCTCTCTCTCTCTCTCTCTCTCTCTCTCTCTCTCTGCAAGTATCTTCCACAGGGGCCTGGTCACTCTCTTCTGTCCCTCCCCTCTCCTAATAAAACTCTTGATCGTGAGTTTTGTCGTGCCTCGTGACCTTTCTTGAACGGTAACAGCGCCGCTTGTTAAAACCAACACTAGATACTCTGGGATTTCATATTTACTTTAGAATAAGTTTGAGGTTTCCTGAGAAAAACCAGAGGATTTTGACGGGTATGGTATTGAACAAGTCAGTTGACAGGCAATTAGCATCTTCGATAGACATATAATTTACAACTGCACATATTAAAGGGCTGGATTGTGATATTTCAATAAATGCAGCGTTCACTGGTCAAATCATGGACGACTTTCCAGAGTCAATTCTCTCCCTCAAACACTTGGTCCCCTGAGTAAGAATTGAAGTCAACAGGCCTGGAGGCAAGAACCTTTTCCTGATGAATTAACTAGCAAGCTTCCAGTTATTTCTTTACATTAGAAGTTTCAAGCAGCTTATACCTTCATAACCTACATGATTGTGAACTCTAGCTGCCCTTCTATGCTGCAGAGCACTAGGACTTATTCCTTCTATCTGGATTTTGGTGCCTTTTGTCCAATATTTCTTCAGCGTGCCCTCCTTCCCCCGCATGCCATTGCCAACTTCTAATAGCTGCTATCCTGAATTGAGATCAGGATTTTTACTTACCTGCAACATGAAAGACAAAACATGGTACCTATGTTCTGTGTCTGGCTTATCTTGTGTCACATAATGTCCTACAGATATATCTGTGATGCCACACATGACAGTCATTCATCTTTCTTATAGCTGAACGACATGTTTTGCAATTATGTGTTTGTTTTGCTCCCTGATGCCTTAAATCTTTGTTGATTAAAAAAAAAAAAACTATCCGTTTTCACGTGTGGTGCTTGTTTTAAACATGTGTGCTAATTTATAAAAATGCTACTATACCCATAAAGTCTCACCAACATGACTGCCCAAATGTAACCCGAAGGAGGATGACACTAACCGACATGCCAGACTGGATGGGGGAAAGCCCAGGGGGCCTCAATTCTACACAAAATCTACAAGCAGCTGAGGAAAGCTGGGAGCAGGAGGGGGTGGGCTTCTCCAGGAGAGGGTCCACCAACTGGTTGTCTAGTACCAAGTGGTCAGCACTGAAAACATACATACAAGTAACATTTTATGGACCGAACAGTTTCTCTTTAGGGATATATGTGTACATACAAATACGTATGTGTGTGCCACAATAATTAATGAATAAAGAACCCATGAATTTGAAGAAGAGTGAAGGGGTACATGGGAGGGTTTGGAGGGAAGAAAGGAGAGAAATAGCATTACAATAAATTACAATCTCAAAAATAACAAAAAAACCCAACAAAACCAAAAAATGGCAATTGACTTTTTATATTACTGTAATATGCAAAATTTGGTAACCTCTGTTGATAAATCTATAATTTTTAAGTATTTTAGCATTTCTAGATAGAAAATAATATCACCTAAGAACAATAAAAATTCCCCTTAATTTCAACTGTTAATGGAATTTTTTTCTCATCTTGCTCTGCCCATTATGAATTTTAGCAAAATAGTAAACTGAGGCAGTGATAGCAAACTCTGTTTTTATCTACAACTTGGAGAACTCCTTATCATTGACAATGAATATGTTGTAGAATTTTAGAGACCCAGCAACAGTTTAAGAGACTCCTCTTTTCTGGGTTTGTCGAGAGCTGCATTCTACTAATTTGGTTAAAAACTTTTAACATCCATTACCAAACATAGTAACAATTTTATTGTGTCATCTTTGACTTAGGTGTTATTTAGAAAATTATAGTTTAATATCCGTATAAGAGCATATTTAGTCATTATTCCTTGATTGTAACTAAATGGGCCTGTTAGTTAAATTTGAGTATATGTTGTCCCCTCATTGGCTTCCAACTGGTCGGCTTTCAGTTGAGCTGTTTTCTTACATACCTCTCAAATCTGCTTCATCAAAATACATATCTACATAGTTTTCATTTCTCTATGCTCTACTCATAAAAACAAAATTAATACACCCACTGTTATTGACAGTGAGTACATGGAGTACATTAGAACAGAACTGGAGTGCATCACTCTACAAATGGGAACTGTGTCATGGAAAATATTTTTTGAAGTAAAATACTTTGAAAAATGATGCCGTTGCCGGGCAGTGGTGGCGCATGCCTTTAATCCCAGCACTCGGGAGGCAGAGCCAGGCGGATCTCTGTGAGTTCGAGGCCAACCTGGGCTACAGAGTGAGTTCCAGGACAGGCTCCAAAGCTACACAGAGAAACCCTGTCTCGAAAAACCAAAAAAAGAAAGAAAGAAAAAGAAAAAAGAAAAATGATGCCGTCACCTCTAACTATTAAGAGGCAACTCAATCAGAAAATTGTGCAAATAAAAGCTATCCCTGTACACAAGTGCAAATACTAGAGTGTTTCATTTAAAAAAATAAAAGCCTTACATTGATCTTTAAGATTGAAAACTAAACACTCACATTTTTGTTTTAGTCACACTGAAAATGGGTAATTTTGAGTAGATTTTCAAAAATTAAATTAAAAATGTATTATTCAAAATCCACGATCCTAAAATGAAAAAAAATAATAATAATAATAAAAGCTTCCAGGTGAGGCCTCACTTTGTTGTTTTTGTTTTTGAGACAGGGTCTCACTGTGTGGCCCTGAGTGACGTGGAACACACTTTGTAAACCAGGTTGACCTTGAACTCAAAGATCTGCCCGCCCCTGCCTCCTGAGTGTGTGATGGAAGGCTTGAGACATCACTTATCTGGCATCTCACTTAGGTCTGGACTTCTGGAGTTACTGAAGGCTTGGAACTTAAGTAATACTTCTGGGAACTACATCAGTTCACTATTTTTTAAAAGAATCTCCTTTGCTCCATTATGATCATATAATTTTTGTTTTTGTGACAGGAAAATGTTCCCTTTTCAGTGTTGTGTAGCACCTTTCGGCAGACAGATTTTGCAGTTGCCAATTAAAAGATACTGTTCAGCAACTTCCCTGCATGATAAACCCACTTTGTCTCTCTCTCTCTCTCATACATCAAAGGGTATTTATATTAAAATTCCCCCAAGGTGTTCATCACCAACTGCAAGCCTGGGACTCTGTTGAATTTGTGTTTGCTTTATGAGTTATTGCTGAGAGCTCTGCGGAAGACCTAGGAAAAGAAAGAAAATGGAAATTGTTTTCCATAAAGACTATCACAAACAGCAGAGATCCGAACACGCTTTTACTCCTCGCTCTGTGCGAACTAACTTGCTTATGATTAAAGAATGATTTTAATTGTCAAACTTTGAAATTTTATTAAATGTTTGCGGTAATGTATTGAATGAATCCCAGACATACATAAATAAACAGGCAGCTGTTTGCAATTTGCATTTTATCAGTTTTGCAAGAGCACAATGTTCTCCCTGCATCATATTCTCAGAATTTGCATCTTATCATCCTTGGCTATCCACTATATACTATGGAGTACTTGAATATCTCATTCTTTGAATTTTCATTTTTGATTGTAAATCAGGTGATGGCTGGCATTTTTCTCTTTTCTCATTTTTTTCTCTTCTCTCAACCTCCAAGTTTACTTACTTCCATTTCTTCTTGGCTCTAATAATAAAACACACAAAATATTTTACATTTTGGTTTGGAGCATCAATAATTCATATTTCTTTTGTTAATTACCATAAAATCTAAAGGCAAAAACAAAACCAAGCTTAGTGTTCTATTATGTTTTTTTAATGTCATTCAAGCCTCCTAGGTTTCTTTTCCATGCTCTTTCAGCATTGCATTTTAGATAGAAGGTTGGTGAGAGATTAAATTAACACTGCATATAAATCTGCATTTAGAGGACACTCACAATGAATGGAATGAACATTCTATGATATGAAGACAGGCGCTTCCATAGTCACTCTGGTATGTCCCTATCAGAATGGCCATGAGGCCACAAGGGAAGGCTGGCAATGAAAATATCTCCAGCCCCCTTCAACATGTGTCCCTGATCCTCATAGTCGACCAGCTCTTTCCTCTCCTCTCCCACTGCACCCACAGCATCCTGCAACATTTTCCCAAAAAACTCCTGGGGTCAGTTTACATTTCCTTGGTCTTGGTTGCCAGAGACTCAGAGGAACGGGCAACTGGCAGCTTGTGTTTTCTGTCTCTTCCCTCCAGCAATCCATCTGTCCACTGGGAAATGTCACAATGGCTGTTCTGCGCCCTAGCAAGAATATGTGTGGGAAGAAACACAAGCTAATCTTTCTCTTTTTGTTCTGAAGATGACAACAACAACCAGAAAGGATGAATTTTGGGCATTACTACTTTCTCAATCAAAAGCAAGTAAGAAAACATACATGCCGTTTATAAAATATTATTCATTTTATAAAGTGTTTTACAATATATAGACCTTAAATATAAGTCCTCATTCTTCCTGAGGTATAGACCTTTGTAGACAAATTCAGTTGAATTTGGTAATTTCTTAGTCACTTCGATTTCAAAATTCAGTCACATTTAAAGGTTTTGCTTGGGGTTTTGTTCCAACTCCAGACTCTGTGTGGCTGTTCCTAATTTCTGGGATGGGTCAAGGAGAATGGTAGCTGCCATGTGGCAGCCAAAGAGAGAATACATAATTTCCACAGGCCTGATGTAGCTGGGTCTTAACCCAGTTAACCGGCCTAGAGTTTCACAAACTTTAATGTGCACCCTAGTCACCTGGCCATGTTGGTAAGATGGGATCCTGCCACAGCAGGGATAATACGGAGACTCTACATTTCTAATGAACTCCCAGAGGATGGCATTGCAGTCGATCCTCAAATCATTCTTTCATGAACAAGGTTTTGCTCCCTGGATGCTGGGCTGGTTATCTACTTACATCTCTGTCAGAGGCCATCTGTTGAGATCGTAGCTCAGTGCCACGCTCACCCCAGTAGAGTTCAACAACAAACATATCTTTCTGAAGTTCATCCCCTCACTTGTTGCCAGAACGCTTCGTGCATTCACACCGTGATCTCTCCGTTTTTCAAGGGCTGTCTCCCACAGGACTGTGTGATGCTCTCCTACGTATCCTTGACACTTAGAACTCTCAAGAAGCGGTCTTCAACCTCCCATGTGAGAGGGGGCCTGCCTTTCCCCTAACCACGTGGCCCTGAGACATTCTTTTCAGAGCTTTTCCCCATGCCCGGAACCTGAGAAGTACAATGTAGCCCGGCATGGATGCTTGGATTCTGTAGTACACATAGATGGTACACACTCACCTTCTGAAGGACTTCTCCATCCCCCAAATACTTCTCCTGCCGCTGTCTAACAATTTGGTTTGGGGGAGGGAGCCACCGGGGTCCAAAATTAACAAGTATGACGGTATTAGGGCACAGAGCACATCCTTAACATTCCAAACGCGTCCCTCTCAGACAGAAACCATAGCGAGAAAAGCTGTGACTTAGAAATGCCTAGTTCCGTCAAGGATTTTCATTGTATCATTACTTTCGTTTTCTCTCTCCTCTGTTCCCTTTCAAATTATGTTTGATCGCACGTGACAATCCAGCCCAAGTTAAGAGAAAATTCAGTCAGTTCAATAATACCGTTGTCAATATTCTCTTGAAGCATAATTTGGTTTGGAAAATGAGGGGAGCTAGGAGCTGTCTCCAAAATGTAACTGTATACCGATTCTGGGTACTGACTCACAGTTGAAGTCAAATGAGGTTTTTAAAAAGTGTCATCTAGCCGGGCGGTGGTGGCGCACGCCTTTAATCCCAGCACTCAGGAGGCAGAGCCAGGCGGATCTCTGTGAGTTCGAGGCCAGCCTGGACTACCAAGTGAGTTCCAGGAAAGGCGCAAAGCTACACAGAGAAACCCTGTCTCGAAAAACCAAAAAAAAAAAAAAAAGTGTCATCTAATCCATTTCCTCTGGAGAAAGGAGAATAGCTAGTCTTTATGTGAACCTTCTGGAAGGCCCTGGTATAAAAGCTTATGGCATCAGAATATTTTAAAAATACTAGGATATTCATTTAGATACAAGGTCCCTATCTGAATTATTTGTTCTGAAAGATTCAGTTGTCTGAGGAATAATTTGTATTCACTGTAACTAATTTCTAAGCAAAGACCTGTCTGTGGTCAGGATCCCTAACAAATGTCTAATCTGAGATTCCCAACATTCCTGTTCCCTTGGTGAGTACAATGTATAACAAGTGGGAGAATACACTTGATACCTCCTTGGCAATCAAATTCATGGACTGCTAGCCTTTACCAGCCTACATCTGTCTAAGGTAAATACAGCAAGAGAGAATATCTTATTAGTGCAAAATATTTGCACTGTATTATAGCAAAGAGTAGTTTAGCATATGTAATTATTACAATTACTATGTTTGATGGAGAGGAAAAACAATATCAAATGGTTTTCTGATAACATAAAAATAGGTAAACCTGAACACCATGAAATAAAGTAATATTAACTTGCCACTGTACTGGGGGACTACTAACTCCCCAGGTCTCATATGTAGTTAAATGATCTTGAAATTTTTTTTTATTTTAAATGTTTTAAAATCTGTCTTGACTTAAGAACTTGTAATTTATTTCCAGGACTATATGGCACATTAAAGTCACCAGTGGGTATTTACCTGGATATATCTTTTCCGTTTTTGAATATGTTTTTGAAAAAGGAATTCTTCTTCGCCAGGCTGAACCATTATATGATGTTGACATATGTTTATCTGAGAAAATAAAAAAGAAGACTGCTAGCAAATATTGCTGAATTCGAACAACTACATTCCAAGAGCATTCTAAAGCTATAAATACCTCAGCAGTAAGAATTATCCTCCACGTGTTTCCTCTACCATTTGAAAACTAAGGCAACAGGGATACAAGTGAGTTTATTAAGCCCACTTAAGTGATCAGCAAGCATGGTTACAAATCTCTTAATTTACTGTTCATTTCCTCAAATAAGGCTCTATCCCATGAGGCTAATCTAGAAGACCGAACAATGTCTGGATACAGTATTTCATGACCTTTCTTCTGTGACTTAGCACACTGTCGTCCTAATGTTTGGAGAGGCCATAAATTTGAAAGAGAGCAAAGAGAGGTTTGTGGGAGGCCTTGGAGGGAGGAAAGGGAAGAGAGAGCTGATATAAGTATATTATACAATCTAAAAAAAATAAAGAAAATTAACATTTCAGACAATACATAATCTACTTTGTAAATATATTTTTAATTTTATTTTAAAAACAACAAGTTACATTTGCCTAAAGAAAGTGCCCTCTGTAAAAACAGTGACCACTGAAATCGTGAACTTGAGGCCTCAGGAAGCAAGAGCAGGCACACACACACACACACACACACACACACACACACACACACACAGAATAAGTTGTCTATAATGACATGATTTTATCTACTCCCTAACATTGTTATATATATGTTATATTATATGTTCTCAGGATTATTACCATACATCTATAGTTCTCAGAGTGTGACTTATAATAATATCAAGAATTTTCTTTCTTGTGTCGGTTTTGTGTGTTGATATTTTCACGAATGAGGCACAGTGGAGTCCAGGAGAGTGGGTGGCACATTCAGTTCACACAAGTCTAGACTTAGGCAATGCACTGTGCTAGTATGCATTGTAGTTTTCATAGCCACACCAGTATTACAGCAAAAAGAATAAACAGCATAATGCTATAGCAATACAATTAAAATCAGTTTCTTCTGAGTGCATACTTATTTGCTTATACACATCCATACACCATTATAGTCTAAAACGAACAATTAAAGTGAAACATCTACTTAAGTTGTTAAAGTTTCCAAAAGTTCTCGAGAAGTGGAATTCACAAACTACACTGTGAATAAAAGCTACAATGTAAATTACAGGGAACTGAAGGACGTTTTGTTAAGTCAAGAGAACTGAAACCCAGCTTCAAACCAGCACAATTCACCTTGAGCAGGAAGAAAAAGAAATTCTCTCCTGTGGCCTTGTACTTCCTGACATACACCATGCCTTTGCCTATGACATGATGAAGTGATTTAGAAGGGCATGGTGGGAGGGAGGAGAGGGTGTAAGAAAAATTGCCATTAACCCTCACACTAACCCTTTCGGAAAGCAATCAGGATGTCCTCAAGAAAAGACAGGGTGGTCATCTGACAGTAATAATTGAACAGTGCATTTAGTGGAACAAGAAAATGTCAACCACGTAAAAAGAATCCTCCCTAGAGAAATAAAACTGCCCAGGGTGAACAAAGGGCAGTACATGGAGGCGAATCCCTAAGGAGGTACGGTGTCACCTCCTCAGCACCCAGCATGAGGACTCTTCCCCGTCCTTGAAACCACGCACGACTCCTCATGGTTGCAATCCTCTGCTCAGTATCGCAGACGTTACAATGATGCTAGTCCAGTAAAAGCAGCGAGAGGGAGGAGTGACGATCGGGTTTCCGTGGGGGGAAATCCTACACTAAGGCGAAGTGCATCGGTCAAGAGTGAACCACATCAATAAAGAACCTCACCTGGGCAGAGGTTGAGTTTGGGCTCCTTGTTGACGTCAGTTTTGTTGTAGGACCCACCTGTGGGCCTGCTTCCGGGAGGGGTGTTCAGCGTGACCGTTCTTACCGCGTCTCTTTGGACATGCATATAGGAGGTGTTCTCAGCATTTCGGTTTTTATTATGATGATGGTAACTCATTTTATGTTTGGGATTTGGGGTGTGTACTACTGTAAATCAAGAGAATAGAGATGAGGGATGAAACAAGCCAGACTCACATTCAAAAAAAAAAAAAAAATACACAGTGCATGAAGTATGAGGTGGCAAAATAAAAGAAAATTTAAGCATTCAGAGAAGAGCTGGGGTGACCTTTACAGTAGACTTGAAGTTATATGGCAATAATTTTTCCTTGGAGTGGGAAATATTTGATTTTTAATCTCTGTGAAAATTATGATTAGAAATACCAAACACTTAGATATTCTACCTCTCCGCATTCCAGGGCCAGGAAAGTTCTTTGGTTCATCATAAATCCATTTTCTTTTCTTCACACCTTTAAAATGAGGCTTCCTCACTGGCTGGACATCATTCACTTGGAGGAGATACAAATTTTTACAGTTTTTAAGAGAGATGCTTTTATCTGAAAATTACTGAGGTGATAATTACCTATCTGTGCATTCTCACATCAAGCAAAAGTGTGTCACTCTAAAACTAGTTTTTAGAACAAAGAGTGGCTGGTTTTTAAGTGTCGAAAAGAAATCCCCCTTGGAAATACATTAATGAGAAAAAAAAAACCTTCAATAAGTTGCTTTCCTTTAAAAAACGTTTTATTGTTCTCCAAAGGAATGCATGGGCTTCTTAAAATAGCACAAAAGTGCACTCCAATCATAATTACAAATCCGCACATAATGCTGTTCTAAGGTCGTCATTGTTATCTTCAAAATGAATCTTTTTGTACTTTTTAAGCCCAAACTACTATTTCTTAATGAGTTAGGTTAATACCTGAAGCACTTTCATTGAATTTCTCCATATCCTTTTTAAAGTGTTACGAGGCTGACTACTCAGTTTGGTAGGGCAAAACTGACTATAAGAAAGAAGGTGGAAGCTTCTAGTCACACTCGTCTCACGTTATGTGGATACACTCATATCAAAAATTTCTACATGCATTCTCAGTTTCTCGAGGCTTCCCTAAGGAATGTTTTTCAGAGATTCCTAAACCAATTTTTTAGAGGCATTCTGCTAATCACAAAAGACTACAAGGGAAAATGAGTATCAGTGTACAGATTAGAGTCGTCTTCCACTAGTAGGCTAATAAATCTGTGTTTGCCTTAGCTTAAGCTTTCAGCCCTCAGAATCTTTGCCTCCTCCCCATACATCACTCCCATACTCCCACACCTAAGATGCTACCATCCAAAGTTATAACAAGTACTATTAACATGAGTTTCCTTCCGGAAGTTATTGTGGTTCTTCTCTCCTTCAGTGTCTGAGAACCAAGAACATTAACAGGAGTTCAGCAAATGACACAAGGATCAGGGGGAAGGAGAGAAGGGATGAAGCAGAATCCATCAAAGTACCAGCTCAAAGCACCAATGCCCAGGAGAAGCCAGATCGAGAAAAATGATCCATAATAATTACAAAACTGCCAATATGTTCCACGATGGTCAAAAACTAACGTGCTGTGGTAATGACCTTCTGCACAGGCAGTTTACTATTACATGAACATGTACCTTAAACTAGTGGGTATAATTGACTGGGACCTATATCACAATCTGCACTCTGGACTTAGAAGAAAAATACTATTTACTGCTTCAAATGGCAGATTTTTCAAAGCACACTTTTTCCTTTTCTTTCTTTTTTCTTTCCATTTCAAATTATCTTGCAAATAAGAAAAATACGTCCATAATAAGACAGACACATTCAAGGTCTAAAAGTGACAGAAGCACTGTCTTACTTGAAGATGGGGTCTCTCTGTACTTCATCCTGATGTTCTCAGTAGCATTTAATATATGTGTTGTAGGGACTAGGCGAGTAGTTAGGGGGCGCTTTGGATGTAGACTGTCCTTGCTCTCTTCTAAAGCAAACGAAGAAAATAAAATGTCAATATTAGTAAAAGAAACACTTCAGATGGGCACACCTCCTGCATATGTGTGTCATTTTCTAGAAAGCCTGGTTAAAATCATCTCACTGACACACTGTCCCTCAAGTACTGATAAAACTTTAAAAACTCAAACTATAGCTTCCATGCACAAGTGGAAATGCACAAGAGAGATTTCTGTGTTTTAGCATCTCCTTGAAAATTTTAAGTAGATGGTGTATTTTACAGGGAATAAGCCCATTTAAGTTCTCAAGACACTTTCAATGGGACCATGTTCATTTGACCTGTGCTTGGCAGGGGGACTATCCATATTCACAAGTATGAAAATGTTCTAAATCTGTGCTGTTTCACATAATAGCCCATACTCACATGTGTCTATTTACTACTTGGTGTGGGGGCTAGTGCAGTTGAAAAGCTGAATTTAGAACTTTATACATTACAATTTAAATTTAGGCACTCATACAAGGCTAGCTAGTGGCCTCCAAATTAATATAGCTGGGTTTTCCCCCTAGAATTTCTTTGATTGATTAGGGAAAAAATTAACTCTGATTATGAGACAGATTTACATATAATTTTCCACTAAATAATTTGACACAAATGTCTTTTCCTACACTTCTGTCCACCAGAGAACTCCCAGCTGCAGACAGATAGAGTGACACAAGGCTCAAGAGGAGACATTTACTTTATCCCTGGAATATTCACAGATTGTTGCTAGCAATTATTGCGTAATGGGTATGTCATCACAAGAATGGATCTCTTCAAAATGTTCATGAACAATGTTTCTAAGGAAATTTGGTCATTCTGTTTTAAGTTGCTAAAAAAGAAAAAAACTTCAAAGGTCTTGGTATTGCCATTTAAGGAGGCCAATAACCTTACAGCTGAAAGAGCCCTTGGAATGTCATTGCCCAAGAGACAAACTTTCCAGACTAGGAAACAGGCTATAAAACTTAAAACAATTAAGTGTGCAGCCAGTTCAGAGCCTTGGGGTTCTGGTGTCCTATTCAGTACTTTCCAATATATTACCTTTCTGATTACATTTGGTTTCCATAACAACTAAGATGTTCATTTAATTTATCTGCCCAACCTACAGATGGGTCAGTTTTATCACATGACCCCATTACCTTTGATATTTGAGCATTTTGAGGTGATTTCTTTCACTTCAGCTAATGCTTCACTTTCATCTACTCCAAGAAATATGATCCTCTGTGGAGCATAGCAGTCACCTCCTAGAATAAAATTTCACAGTCAGGGGCAGCAATAGTAACAAGAGGCACATGACTACCTTTTAATACAGGAATGATCACAATATCTCTGGTGTCCACTTTTGTTTAAACATGTCTCAGATTATGCGCCCCCCCATATCTCTACACATTCTATCAGAGATGCTTAGGCTAGTGTGTATGTGGATTAGCTATATTATTTGAGTGGCCAGAATGTAAACTGACATATAGATAATTGCAAGAAAGTTCACATATTCAACAAAATTAACTTCCCTCTAACATAGTGATCTTTAGAAGATATTCACAGTAAATGTAACTTATCCTTCATTTGAAATCTCCAGATACATGAAAGCAGTTTGGTTTTCCTTAAAGATCTTCCACATTTTTTCAAGATAAATACATATGCTAGCTTTAAATGCTACAATTGAGATTTATAGTACCTTCAACATGAAATTTATTCTTATTAAGCAAAAAATTATCTGTTTTAAATAACCATTTTCCTGTGTATGTGTGATGTGTTTATGTATACATATACATGTGAATGCATTTGTGTGCGTGTGTGTGTGTGTGTGTGTGTGTGTGTGTGTGTGTGTGTGTGTGTGTGTGTTACAGTGCAGATCAAAAGACAATCTCAGGTGCTGCTCTTCACCTCCCACCATGTTTGTGATAGTGTTTCTTGTTTACTGTTGTATTTGTCAGGCTAGCTAACCTGCCAGTTTCCAAGGATTCTCCTGTCTACAGCTCCCATAGCTCTGTAGGGGTACTTAGATTTCAGACACATGAGGGCGGGCAGTGGTGGTGCACGCCTTTAATCCCAGCACTCGGGAGGCAGAGCCAGGTGGATCTCTGTGAGTTCGAGGCCAGCCTGGTCTACAGAGCGAGATCCAGGACAGCAAAGCTACACAGAGAAACCCTGTCTCAAACACACACACACACACACACACACACACACACACACACACACACACACACACAAAAGATTTCAGACACATGATACCATGTATGACTTTGTGTAGGTTCTGCAGATTGGAACTTGGGGCCTTATCCTTACCTGTCAATTTACCTACTGAGCCATCTCTTGAGCCCCCTAGTAACCTTCTTTGAAAATAATATTCAGATGAGGATGCAGCTCAGTCGAGGAGCCCTCACCTAGCAGGCACAAGGTTCTAGGTATATCTCAAGCCCCAGTGTAACAAAAGTAAAGAGAACATTAAAAAACAAGTTATGGAATAACCTGTGAAAAAGTAGTATGTAGTATTTCACTTGCAATGTCCAGCATCTAATTAAAACTGAAAAGGTGTACTAAAAAACTCAAAAACTCAGCCGGGCGGTGGTGGCGCACGCCTTTAATCCCAGCACTCGGGAGGCAGAGCCAGGTGGATCTCTGTGAGTTCGAGGCCAGCCTGGGCTACCAAGCGAGTCCCAGGAAAGGCGCAAAGCTACACAGAGAAACCCTGTCTCGAAAAACGAAAAAAAAAAAACTCAAAAACTCAAATGTTTATCAAAACCAGAGGAAATTGAAAATGATCTAAGTAAAACAACAAGGAAGAAAAAAATAGTAATATGACTATTACATCCCCCCCCCCAAAAAAATGGTGGGAAATTCTTTAAAAGGTCAGACAGAGAGACAGTAGAATTTTATTTAAAGTAGCGGGGGGAAGCAAAGAGGAAGCATTAGCAAGCAAGACTTTGGGTCAGCAAGAAGGATCCAGTTGTCTCTAGAGTAACTCATAATAAAAAGTGGTATCAAGATAGAACTTGACAAAAAGAGAAGTCAAGGTAGACAATAAGCTCCTGAAAAATGCGTTCAATGCCATTAACCATTAGGGAAACGTGAACTAAAATGAGGTATCACAAGCTAGGCAACAGAAGAGCCACAAGGTAGAAGCGATGTCTGTTGTTGGCACTGCTGGTACTTTTCAAAAACGCCACACAGAGTGGTGAGAAATTAGAATTCTCAGCTGCACACATTCCTCCACCGAGGTGATATGCTCAGCATTCCTGCTTGTGTTTTCATGCAGAGATGGCCACAGGATGGGACTTTCAGGAGAACAAGGCAGCATTGTGCCATCTCTTTAACGCAAGGGAAGCTGCAAGGGATCTGAATCCTAACACTGGCACCTGCCGAGCGACACAGCCTGAGCAGAGTCACCTAATGCTTCCAGACTCCATTTTCTCTTTAAAACATAGACAGTTTAATATTTGCTCATTCAATGTTCATGCCATCTTTACAGCTGCTGGGAATACTGGGAATCCTTTCTCCCCAGCCCACCCCCTCTCGTGTGTGTGTGTGTGTGTGTGTGTGTGTGTGTGTGTGTGTGTGTGTGTATGTGTGTGTGTGTGTGTGTGTGTGTGTGTGTGTGTGTTCAGAAAGAAATGCATGCACATTTAGAATGTTTGTAAATAGGTACATATAAATGCATATATGCACTACCTCCTTTTATGCATATCTATGTATATGTATGAAATTTAAACAGCAGTGTCAAAGAGTTACTGCAACAATCAACAATGTGGACATATTTCACACAATTAAACTTAAATACTAAACTAAAATACTCAAACTGAAGGAACCCAAACTGTACATCTCCATTTAAATAGCGATTAAATATGTAAAACTAAACTGTGGGGGCAAAGATCAGAGTGTGGTTATCAACGAGACGTGATTATTGCCTTTGCTAGTCCCTTAGTGACTGATAATAAAATGCTGATGGAAGCGGTATTGGGATATAACAGAACTTGACAAAAGAGTATGTCAAGGTAGCCAATAAGTTCATAAAAATACAGCTACACAGATGGGTGTGCATGTGGAATTTCTTCCCAAGCTATGTACCTCAGAGTAGCATGCTTCATTAAATTCAGAGTTCAAGAAGACATTGAAAATAATAAAGCTAGAAACAATGTTTCACGTGTTTAAATTAAATATGGACTCGCTAGCTACAATTGTAAAATGTACCACTTTTCCTCTCAAGATGGTCTATCAACTATTTAGAAGACTCAAATTATCAATTTAGCATATACGGAGACCCCGGAAATGTTTGTAACTGAACAAAGACTTTTATGGTAGCTGGAGAATCACCAAGATTCACTATTTCAGGAACCCCCTCTCCCAGATGACTGAGAGCTTAACATCCTCCAGTACTGCTGTTAAACAGTTGATTATTCACAGAAGTATTAGAAAGAATAATGGAAGTGCAATGCCAGTCTCACACTTCCTAAGTCTCAAGGAAGCAAGAAATGCATATGAAGGAAGCTGGTGTTTTACATGAAAGGGTTAGTTCATCAATGACTGGAAATAACTTTTTCCCAACCAAAAAAGCCAGATAATTTAGTAATATTTTGCCCAAGTATAAAATGTCAGTTTTGCTCTTTCTCTCACTAGAGCTAGAACTTGTTGCTTCAAAGCAACCAATGATAACACTGAGTCTACTGCAGATATAGAGGAGGGAGGAGGTGGAGAAGAAGAAGAGGAAGAGAGAGAGAGAGAGAGAGAGAGAGAGAGAGAGAGAGAGATAAATGTGGTGATATTTCATTTGTATGCTAATAAATAAAGTTTGCCTGGAGATCAGAGGAAATAGCAAGCCATTTTAAGTAAATACGAAAGTCAGGCAGTGGTAACACACACCCTTAATCCTATCACTTAGCAGCCAGTGTCTCTGAGTGTTCAAGGCCATACTAGGGAACAGAGCCAAGCATGGTGACACATGCCTTTAATCCCAGTACCAACCATAGAGGCCTGGGGGTCTGTACAGACAGACAGACAGTGACAGAGCTGTGTAGGAAGAGAAAGTATGGTAGCTGGGCTAAGAGAGCCAATGAGAGGGCAGAATAGCAAGGCAATAAAAGCCTGGGTAGACAGGAAGTCATGGCGTTTGGAAGTGGCAGAGTCGGTGAGGTAGGTTGGCTGGTGGCTCTCACTATTTCCCTGATCTAAGGCTTTCACTCCTATATTTGGCTCCGTGTTTTTTATTTAATAAGAACATTTAGAAATTCATCTACAGAGAAGGAAAGAAAGAAAGAAAGAAAGAAAGAAAGAAAGAGAGAGAGAGAGAGAGAGAGAGAAAGAAAGAAAGAAAGAAAGAAAGAAAGAAAGAAAGAAAGAAAGAAAGAAAGAAAGAAAGAAAGAAACGAAGGAATGAAGGAAGAGAGGGAGGGAGGGAGGGAGGGAGGGAGGGAGGGAAGAAGGAAGGAAGGAAGGAAGGAAGAAAGAAAGAAAAAGAAAAAAATTAGCACAAGGGGGAAAGATTGACTGAAGACAATGGCTGAAAACAGGTGGAAATCAGGCCTGTGGAGAGCATCGCCAACGTGCTCCAGCCTTGATGGCATATGTTGGCACTTTTCTCAGCCTCCTCTCTTCTTTGACATATATTCTTCCTATCAATCTTTTTTCTGCATCAGAAAAAGGTGTCTACATCTTCTCAAGAAACTAGCATTTCTAACAGAGGAGAGATTTTCTTATACTCTAATGACCAATAGTCTTAAAATATTTAAGCTATGAGAAACAATGATAATGAATGTCTTGGTGTAAATGATACATATATTCAAATATAACTGCCATAACTTTCTATAAGTGTTTATTAACCCCGTCTTGTAGCTGAAAGTTTTCCTGTGTCCCGCCCAGTCCGCAGCCACTCAGACCCAAGTAAACACAGAAAGGCTTATATTAATTACCAATTGTATGGCCTACTGGCTCAAGCTTACTACTGATTACCTCTTACACTTACTACTGATTAGCTCTTACAGCTCCTGCACTTGGCTCTGTGGTAGTATGGAAATGCATGTGCTTAATATCTGAATTATATCCTGAAGTTGAGCGCACACACATCCACACCAGATTTCTCATAATGGTATGGAAACTGGAATATCTTGCCTTCTACATGGAGTGTAAATTCTTTTAAGGCATATGGTATAGATGCCAGCCTTTCAGAGCATCTTATTTTATGCGGGATTTCCAAACCTTGCATCAAACAGGAAATATATTAAAAACAAAAAACAAAAAACTAAGGACAAAAACTCAGTTCCAGAAGTAACACATTTAGAACCATCTAGCTCACCTCCATTTTCAAAAGTAGCAATGTCAGTCCTTGGTTTCCTATCCAGTGATGTTTTTGCCTCGCCCAGCCTGTCCAAGAGGCTAAACTTCGTTGGAACTGTGAGACCATCCCCTAGAAATGGAAGAAATAAAAAGTCACTCCAGCCACCTTTACATTATAAACAAGATTGTGATAGAATTCATGGCGACAGTTAAGTAGCTTAGACACTAATATATACACAATTTGTGTAATGATCTGGTGAACAATAGATAAGTGCATTTATTTCAAGCTAATTTTGATAAATGACAAAAAAGCAGTAGTTTGTTCTTTTTTGGATTGGTAACTAAATGGCAATGAGAGGTTTAAACAATCTTACACTATTGTGTGAGTGTAATATGTTTAGTTTATCTGGTGTTTCACTGTCGTAGATTTGAAATAATTCTTTTGTTTCCTTCTCTTCATGATTAATTTAGCAAACAGCATTAGAGTCATTATTACTGATACTTGATAATTATTCTCTAAATTTCATTGTACATCTCCAAATAATCTACTTTGAAAGTAAGCTGTTGACATCAGAATGAAGAGATACACAGCAGCCTAAAGCAGTGTGAGATTCTGGACTGGATAGTATGCCAAGAAAGAGTAAATTCACTTTGTGGATAACAGAGGCCTAGCTGGTGAAATGTGTGGAGGGAACCCGTAAACAATAACACTGCTTCAGAGGAAGTTTCCTGATTTTAACATTTATGCTGCAGTTGTGTAAGAACATAGAGCACCATATCTTCACTTGCAGCAGTTCAGAAAATAGTAATGGTAGTGTTCACACTCACTCTAACACTAAGTAAAAACCCAGAAGTAGTAAAATATTAACATTTGCTGTGCATCTAAATCAGGAGTTCTCAACCTGTGGGTCACGAGTCCTTTGGGGTCAAACAACCCTTTCACAGGGGTTGTCGCCTAATATCATCAGAAAACACAGATATTTACATCATAATTCATAAGAGTCGCAAAATTATGGTTATAAAGCAGCAGCAAAAATAATTTTATGGTTGGGGGTCACCCAAAACATGAGGAACTGTATTAAAGGGTTGCCGCATTAGGAAGGTTGAGATCTACTGATGTAAGCAATCAGGGAGTTCAGGGATTAACTTTCTGAAAGCAATACAAGGTAATGTTTATATGTATACAAATGTATGTATCATTTCTTTTACAATCTTCCCTTTTGAATTTTGACTGGTAACTTGGTCTTTTGTTTTTGTTCGCCTGTTTTGAGGTTTCTCGCATCTAGTTAGTACAGGCTGCAGTCTGCTCCACCTTCTGATGGTCTGTTGCTGCCACCTCCTGTCAGCTGTTTAAACATCTTGCCACACAGAGGCAGGGAGGCACAGATGCTCTGTTCTGTATCCCTCCGATCATCCTCAGCCATCCTCATCTCTTTTTTCCGTTCTCCCTTCTCTCTGCTAGCTCCTCTCTCTGTGTACCCTCCCTCCTTCCTGTCCTCTAGAGATCAGGGAGCAATGACATTCTCTTCTATTGCTACAATATGTACACAAGCTCACTCTGAAACCAGGAAACCTGCATGAACTTTTAACACTCATGGACTTTTCTTTAAGTTCCTGCTTTCCTATACACAATACAATGCTCTTTGTCTTGCCTTCAAGGACAAGGTGCTGACCAGCAGCAAACTCCGACTTGCTCAGAAGAAATGCACCATGAAAGAGAGAGTCTAGGACTTGCCCATCAAAACTGCCTTGAACTTGCCTGACACACAACAGACATTCATTCAACAGACGCATTCTTCCACCGACATCATTTCGCCACCTCACTTTTGTCCACACTGACCTAGGTTACCCTTTCCATTTAAAATAAAACAGCAAGCTCTTTCTCACAGAAAGACTTACCACGGACACAGAAAGGCACATTATTTACAGAACGCCTGTGTGGCGTGTGAGGGTTGCCTGTATCTGTGAAGTCTATTCATTTGGCGGCTCCTCTGGGGAAACATCATTACATTAACAGCATCCTTTCATAGGAAATTTGGGTCATCCGGTAAAAAGCTTCCTTCTCACTCACAAGCCAGACGTATTATTTATTATTTAATCCTGCTCTAGTGTACACCGCACTAAATAATTCAGGGTCTATTCACTAAGGATCTCTTACATGTCACCTTGAATAGTACCGTCTTGAGTCTTACCTTCTTGCAATTCGCTGCCATTTTCCAAAGGCTTTTCTAACTCCTTTTCTGGTGTAGAAGCTACGCTTTTTGATGATGAAATGTCCGGAGGAGCATGGAATCTATAGTATTCACCTAAACTCCCATGAGAAAAGAATAGTTAGCATGTGGAGCATATCAACCATTGGAAATCCCACAATTATTTGATTTCTTACCAGATTTATAACACATCTCCTTTATTGCTCTCTTCTCTTCAATTTCTTCAGGTGTCTTTGTCCATAAACTAGAAGCATCTATAGGATATATTTTTTTAAAAATTAAATTGCCCCAAATTCAAATAATCTGAAAATTTATAAATCAGAAAGAAAAATCCCAAATATTGTTTTCATAGAGAGACTGTTCTTCATCTAATGTTTGAAGTAAAAATAAATAAATAAATAAATAAAAAAGAACAAACTCATATTTCAAAATGCTTCCATGTTCAGTATTTGAAAGAATCACGGAAGAGAAATTGTATATTTTATGCTCTATGTCCTGAAAGGAGAAGCTGAAAGCACAGACTTGCTGAGATGCTGTGTGGTAGAGCGTGTGGGCACGAGAGAGGAAGAAATGATAACAGGCAAAAAGAACGGCTGAAGACTTCTGTGTATTCCTAAGCATGAAGCTATGACCGTTGGTACCCACAGAGAAATGCATTCCAGGGCAGAGACAAAGTAAATCTGCGATTTCAGGTGTTCATCTGGAGTTCATCTGAATGGCTCCACTGTGCCGTGATGATATGGGAAAAAAGGGTGAAGGACCATGATGCAGAACACATGGGCCCTAATTCTGTCCACACTTCTCTACAGAAGATCAGGGATGCTGTAGATGACAGTACTTTAAATTCCAAGCTACTCCCTGGATCCTTAAAACTCAAAGGAGTAAATGTTATGAGACATAGATGTATGTACATCAGTGTCACTGAGGTTGTCTCTTATGAGGCTATCTGTAGCTCTGTAAGTACATGTGCTTAATTAAACATGACATATGTCTCCCAGCCATCATACAACAAAACCTTTTAGTCCAAAGAAGCATAAGCATATGTAGACAGAGAATAAATTAAAAAATAAAATTAATTTCTTTAATAATATTAGTATTTTCTCAACAAAATCTGGAATGTACGTTGCTTCTTAAGTCTCTAATTGTTGAGGAGTATGTAGAAAATACTGTGGGTTTTTACATGTGTATTGTAATCCAAGAAAATACTGTGGGTTTTTACATGTGTATTGTAATCCAAGAAAAGGGGTACTAACCATTTTGTTCCTCTTCTTCCTCCTCCTCTTCTTCAAAGTTAGTTTTTAAAACTAATGGATTATGGATAGGTCGTGATACATTCTCCATGGGTTTCAGAGGTTCCTGACTCTGGCTTGGGGGTGGATTTCCTTCCTGACTTTCTTTCTGTAAGGTGGTGTCTACAGAGAAAACACAATGCTTTAGTCTGTTCAACCACTATTACTAATACATTCAATGACCAACCATTCTTTTTGTTGTTATTTTTTTATTTCTTAAAAAAAAAAACCCAGAAATGGTTTCTTGTCTTCTGGATGTGATAGAACTGTTGCACTCATGAGATCATGGTAGCTGTAGTAGCCTGAGCAAGACCTGCTCAAAATCAAGCCAGTCAACATCCCAGTATAAAGCAGTAGGGATTCCCAAGGTCCCTTCCCTAACTGAAGAGTTGGACAGTTAATAATTTTTGAAGAAGGAAAATTTATTTTTCTTTGTTAGTGTGGCCTTTGGTAGGTTAATCACACTCCAGTGGATTGCCACTGATCCATGAGTATATAGACAGTAGAAATTGGTCCTGATGGTTTAAAACCAAACCAAACAAAAAACAGGTGGAAAGATGGGAGGTGGAGAGTGGATCTAAGAGGAGTTAGGGGAAGTGGGTGGTGAATATTATCAAAATACATTACATGAAAGTCTTAAAAAATTAACAAGATTTTATATTAAAAAAAAACAAAATCTTGAGAAGGAGGAGGCTGGAGAGATGGTTCAGCAGTTAAGAGCACTGACTGCTCTTACAGAAGACCTAGCGTTTAATTCCTAGCACCCACATGGCAGTTATTGTCTGTAACTCCAGTCTTAGGGGATCCAACACCCACTTATGGCCTCTGCAGGCACCAGGAACATACATTCAGACAAAAACAAAAACTTATACAAATAAAATAAATAAATACAATTTTAAAATACCATGAAACAGGGCTTCTTGTACCCAGTCTTGGCCTCAAACTAACATTCATTTACAGCCAACCTGGCTTTGAATGATTGTCCTGCTTCTACTTCCCCAAAACTGGGGTTACAGTTGGATACCACTACACATGGTTTATGTGAGGCTGGGGTTTAAACCCAGGCCTTTGTATGTGGTAGGCAAGAATTCTACCGACTATAATATAAACCTGTCCCTTTAAACCATTATCTTCTTAATTAATTGTATATTCAAATGTTTCCTTTATTTTTCAAAAGACTATTATACCAATTGAATAACTATCAACGTTTTGTCTGTAACTAAGGGAAAATATGTCATTTGCTATACTTTATCATTGTGATGAGCTGGATGTGGAGTTCACACATTGTGTGTGGCATTCCACGTTTGGTCCCTGGTTTAGGGTGGATTACATTCACAGTGCTGTGAAGTGACAAGCATCAAGCTCTGGATGTTAATGTTTTCTCGGGATGACACCATTCTCGGGGATAATCCCTTTGATGCTGGGCAGTGACTGTGAGCACAGATTTGAGTCAGCAACGTAGTCGAGAAGTAAAGGACTCTGTCTATAGTGTGCTGTGGTGCTAAATCATGGGCTCTGGTTAAATCAGGGTGCTGTGGTAGGTCGGGAGTAATGTAATAAAGTAATTTATTTTCAGCTTATGACAGATTGATTATAGGTGTGTGCTACCATGCCCAGCTTAATGGGCAGTTTGATATAAGCCCCACGGCCCCATGAAGAAAACCATGAAGAACGCGCATAATTGATAATTTCACTTAGAGCATAGATATGATCTACAGTGTCCAATCAACTAATGGAAAAATTGTCTTGGGAAGCACCTAATCCTGGAAGAGTACAACTGGTGATTTAGCCAACACTCTGTGGCTCCATCTCACCTATTTTACATGTGCTGTTGGGTGGGCCTCAGTTCAACAAGTGGAATCCCAAAAAACCATTTCACTGATTGTCTTTTTTAACATCTAACTTTTATCTTATCTTGACCCGAGGGACATGATTACCTATAAGTTATGTAATGTTCCGTACTAACTGATGCTTTTTTAGCTGTGTCTTTTCATAATTTATAATATGTCCACCTTGGATTTATAAGTAGTTATATGTACTTAATGAAACACAGAAAGGTAGATGCTTTTCCATAAATGTACTACATGACAATGTAAGGATTTAAGGTTAAAAAAAGAAAAAGATTTATCATTCAAGTTCTGAATGACATAGCATTTGGTAGACAGATGTCACTACAAATATGGGAACTATCAGGTCTGCTAGGGATCAACTATATCTTCTATAGTATTCATTATTTCCCAAATGAATAGGTAATATGGTAGCTCAGTACATGGTTTTTTTTAAAGCCCTTGATAGTTTTGTATGCTTGGGACACAGTTTATCTCCCAAAGTCTGATGTGCTAGAATATTGAACCCCAGTGTGGTGTCATAAGGTAGTGGAACTTTGAAGAGGTGAGGCCAGTTGGAGGGGAGAACTGCCACTCTCATGAATGGATTAATGTTCTCTCTCTGATAAGGGTCAGGGCTCCTGAGATTCATGGAGTTCTCATGAGTGGACTGTTTTAACATGAGGCTGGAATCTCCCCTTGTGCTATTTACACCTGTACATTTCCTTTTGCTTTATTGTGATGTAGCTGGGAGACCCTCACAGGACATCATCGGTACTGTGTTGTTTGGACCTTCCATCCACTAGAATCATAATCCAGATCAACCTCTTTTCTTTATATACTACTCAGTCTCTGGTACTTTGTAACACCAAAACAAAACAGACAAAAACAACAGTCTGTCTACTACCTAGAAATTGAATCTTCTTTCTAGAGTACAGAACTGTGTCTGAGCCAGAGGAAAACTTAACATGAATGAGTTTGCAGCGTAACATGATTAACTAAGATTTCCCAGGTTAGAATCTATAAGAGGTAATGCTGTATGCCTTTGTTAAGTGTACGGAATTGGCAAGTGAACAAACCAAAGATCCTTGGTCTCATGGAGATTTTATTCTACAAGGAAGTATTAGGCAATAAGCAATGCACAGAGCAAACAAATTAGACTGCATCTGAGAAATTAATGGGGTGTGGCAAACGGGAAATAGAGGAGGGCCAGGAAAATTAGAAGTGTATATGGAGGAGATGGGACAGGAGGCTATATTTCAATTATGGCACCAAGCAGAGACCTCATTAAAGGCAATATTTGAGCAAAGCTTTGAAGAAATAAAGTAGCTTGCCACAAAGATATTGAGGAAAGGGTACTTCATGCAAAGCCCTGGAAACAGAAATATGCTAACATGCTCCAGGAAAGACAAATAGGGAAATATACAGTTGGAGTGAAATGAGAAGTGTCTGAGTTCAGGGGAGCTAGCAGAGTACTTGATCAAATAACTTTCCAAATTCAAGCTCTTGTTAGGACTCTGACCTCTATGAATTAGATGAAAGGACACTGAGGGATTTTGAGTAGAGGACAAAACCTGCTTGATCATAAGACTGTAGGTGCTGGGCTTTGAACAGACATAAAGAGAGAAAGCAGGGGGAAACCAGGAGCTGCTGTAACAATCCAGTTATGAGACAATCATGGCAGCTTGATCCGTGTGGAGACTGTATAGATGATGATGAAGTCTGACTCTGATATGTCCAGGTGGTAGAATTATGTCTCTGTATGGATTAGATGCAGGATATGACAGAAATTTGGGGGATGATTCAAATGTCCTAAGCTACTGCAAGGCTGGGCTTACAGTCAAGATGAGTCAGAACCAGCTATGGATGGAGCCGTTTTGAAAAAGTACAGATAAAATCATGATCTCTTAAACATGTTAAATGTGAAACAATCGTTAGTCATACAAATCCAGAGACAAAGTAAAAAGTTGAATTCAGATGTCTAGTGGTGTGTGTGGGAGGGAGAAATCTCGATTTGGAGTGGTATGTAAACAGAGTCAATGATGTGTGAATCATTGAAACCACAAAGTTGAGACTGGAGAAAGAGCTCAGTGGTTAAGACCATGTCCTGCACAACCCCAAGGACTGGAGTTCAGATCCTAGCACCCATGTGACAAGCTGGAGTCCTGTGACGGTCTAGAACTCTAGCTCTATGGTATCTGACATCCTCTTCTGGGCTCTATTTGTGTACACAGATAGGTGCACTTGAACACGCACAAGTATAGACACCCACGAAGACACAGGCCAGCACGAATAAGTAAATAAAATAAACCTAATAATTACTAGTGGGGAAAAGGAAAGGGGGACAAAAGTGATGAGAGGTGACAGAATAGTAAAGAGGGGTGACTATGATCAAGATCAACTATGTACAAATGAGACAATATAAACAAACCCATTGTTATGTATAACTAACGTGTGATAATAAACATTAAAAATAAAAATAAGACTGGGTGATATTACAAGACAGGAGACAGGAAAAAAAAAGGAGACTCAACAACTTCCTTGGATACCACCCATGAGGTGTAACTGGCAAGGGCAAGTTATGGAGGGCACAGAAGGAAAACACTATTGAGGTTGTCAAGCTGCTAAGAAATTATATGAAAGGAGAAGGAGATGTCAGATGTGTCCACTTCTTCTAGTAGCTCAGGTGACATGAGGACTCAGATTTGACCAGTGTATTTTATAATCTGCACACAGTGGGGAGAAGGGCCAAAGAAACCTGATTACTAAAAAATAAAGGAAGAAAGAAAGACAGAGAAAGAAAGACAGACAGGAAGGAAGGGAGGGAGGAAAATATTTACAGCAAGAATAGACAAACACTTTAAGAGCCACTGCAGTGGGGAAAAAAATAACAACAACAACAACATGGAGTAGTAGCTACTTGTGAGAGAACGGATTGAGAAGAAATACTATTTAGTTAATAAAAAGATAAATGTGTGTTCATATGATGAAAGGAATGGCTGGGTAAATTAAAATGGCTGTGTAGAAGTCACAGGAAGAATTGTTCATTTAGTTACCAAGTGGGGAGACTGACTAGATAGAGAATGATAGTTCATTATGGTAAGTGTGAAGAAGAGACCAGTACAGATTGTAGTTAGGTGGGTAGATGGAAATCATCTGGGATGAGGAGATGTTGGAAGATGAATGAGAAAGAAGACAATACAAAATCATATTCTAGAAGAATAGAGATGTAGCTGAGGACCAATATAGAACATGGCTGAAGTCAGTAGTATAGACTCATTTGAGGTCTATGGCCAAGAATTTAAACTCCATCAGCATGGTCATGTGCTTTCTTTAACCATGAGCAATTTAACAGATACAGGCACAAAATAAGTGGGGAGTCATGTACCAATATTATGGCTGTAAGAATAGTTTCCTGCAGTTAGTGAATGGTAACAGATTGGGAAGTGTGTGGAAAACATTGGTTGCCAGGGAGACTCATGAGAAGATATTGCAGGGGTCAGTGACTGAGGACTTAGAAGCATAAAGAGGCTAGGGTGATGATAGAGCACATATTTTCCTATTGAAATTACTAAGAATTAATAGAGTGGTACTGATATAGTAACAATGATCTACAAGTTGCATGTGGTTGAAAACGAGGTGAAAGGAGGTAGATGAACATAGCAAAAGACAATGGCACAACACTAAGGAACAAACAAATAAAAATAATTATCATCAGACTCATGCTGGAGAGTATTAGAAAGAAGTGTCAGAAACAGTCTGAAATTGGCCGCAAGGACCAAGAAAATCTCTCCTCTCACACTCAGAGCTGGTGGTACTTGAGATTTGGAAGAGAGGGAGTTGGGGTGGGGGGTGGGGTTGTCAGTCAACAGTGAAGAGTGCCATCGCACTCGAGTCCTCAAGGGAAAACTTCTTACATAAAAGTGTGAAAGATGAGAGGAAAATCCAGAGAAGATAGAGTCGTGTTGACAAAGGAAAGCTGGAGATGAATGAGTGAAAAGGACCAGCTGAGAGTCTCTTACACTGATTGACATAAAAATAAAAGCCAGAATGAAATTAGTTCTATTCAAAATAGAAGTTCTATTCAACATCCAAGTGTACACAATGAGCCTCTGCTGGATATATAGTGTAGCGAGTATAAGGAACTCTTTCCTGTCTTCCAAAGAGTCAAGGAGATTTAAGGAAACTGGGCATTATTTGTCTACACATCTCTTTAATAACTTCTCATGAACGATTATTGGGAAGGGTTGGAATCAGTGCACGGGTGCAGATTTGACCCTATCAAACGGAGGCTTACTCCAAGTGTCAGGCTAAGCCCTAACCCCTGTTGGAAAAGTTGGTACTTCCAGAAAGCCTAGTTCTATTTACAACACACAAGAACAACCCACACAACACTACAGCACTTACACCAGAGCTTATTTTAACAGTGGGAAGACGAATGATAGTCATTTACACAGGCATCTCATTCAGCTCTGCTCTGAGAGGAGGTAGTCTTTGTTTCCTGCTGGTCTTAAAAAAGCCAGTGAAATCCCTGGGATTAAACTACCGGATAAAAAATAATGCCATGGGAATGTTTTGCCCCGGATAAAAATCATACCGTTGTAAACTAACAAAGCCAAGTTAATCCGTTACACAGCTTCACCACTTTCATCCCAGCAAGTTTCTATCTCTTCTCGACCACCAATTTGTCTAAGCAACTAATTTACTACACATTTTTTTTTTTTGGTTCAGACATTGCAAAGCAATGGCAAAGAAATTAATTATGTTCCCCAGCCTCCAGATGCTTACATTCTAGTGAGGAAGAGAAACAATAATAAAAGTATTGCATATGTGATGTGCTTTATGAGGTCAAAAGTCTCCCCAAGTATGTAATAAAGGGGCTAAAGTTTTAGCTCTCCACTTACTGAGGTTCTAGGAAACTAATCTTTTCATTCCCAAAGGACTAATATCATATTCTGCTCTTATCTAGGACCATTCCACCAGAGACATATGGTGACCGGAGCAGAATAAGGTTGCTACAGCATCAGGGAAAACCTTGAGATCACCAATTTCTCCAGCAAGGTTCCCTTAAATATGAGGTTCTCTGTGTTCTGTGAAGAATCTATGTCAAGTCTCACCACAAAGGAGCATTTCTGTATCACTGCAGACAGCTGCTGTGACAGACAATGACACGTAACCCAGAGCATGTCTTGGCTCTCCCCACCTATGAGAGATGCCTGGCACTTCTCACCTGGGGGTTTGCAACTGTGCCTCCCTAGCCTTCTACACCAAGACCGGACTCTAATACTGGAGATCCAGTTATGACAGAGATACTCACTGCTACTTGGTGGCAAAAATAATCCATTGATATTTCGGGGTTTGCTGTGGTAAAAAATACAGCTGATCTTCACACAACCAAGAGGTTGGGTTTCCCAGAAGCATGAAATGCTGCAGTTTTGCTATGGAAAGGAAGTAGGAAGAAAATACAATGTTTAGCTACTCACAATAAATGCAGGCTGTCAGAACACAACGCAATGTGAAAAGGATAGCTTTAATGGCTGACTTAGAATCGTCTGTGTTTCCTACATCTTGCCCCCCTAAGCTTTTCTATTTAAAAAATAAAACGTCCTTTTATTTTGTACAAGTTTAGTTTGAACCAAGTGAAAAACACTTAAATTGTTGGGGAGGAAGAATGATTTCTTCCCTATTTTGTGATAAAAGTTTATTGCAATGGTAAAGGTAGGAGTGTTTTAGTGAAGACGATCAGTCATTTTACCTGCATTTCCATGTGTCTAAATCTGCAAAGAGGGTCTAAACATTTTCTCTCTCTCCATAATGAGCACACAGTGTCACTGCCAAGGGCTTCTTCACAGTGTCGGAATCGGCACTGAGAACCCTAAGAGACAAACAGTGTAGAAGACACAGTATATTAACGTTAGCGTTTAATAACAAAATGTTAACCAACTAAAGAAGAAAGAGTCTATAATATTGGAATCATGAAAACATGCACTATCAATACAGGCTTAAATGACTAGAGTGAGAAAGTGATAAGAAAAGGTAACGATCAAACAGCACAACACACCACAAGTTACTCTCAAAATGATGCCCTTGGCATCCAGTGAGCCCATAGATGTGAGGGCAGAGACTCCCTTGATTGCAATACAACAACAGGGAGGGTTTATTTCTCTTTCTGAAGAAAGCTTGGCAAGTATCTGCCATGCACTCGTCACATTGAAGACAGTCTCTACCGACCACTAAGACCAGCACTCTGTGGAGATGCTGCAAACTATGTTGAGATCAAGAAAGCAAGTGAGATCTCAACTGTGTGATACTGTAAAAACTGCAGTAATTTCCACATCACACACAACATACATGTTTTATGTTCTTGATGTACAAATAGTTGACTAAATATATTCACACAGGTATTTTATATAAAAACCAAAGTAGATATGGATTATGTCAATGGCCTGCTATTGCTTTATTTTTTAATTCAGCATTCTTTTGTGCATATATTCACAATTGGAAAAACTGTAGGCCACTGTCTCACAGACAGGGGAATAGCGAACAATAACAACTCCATTGCATTCCTTTCTTTTTGACACACACTCTATGTCTTCTTTCTACCTCTCTATTCACTTTCTTTTCCCTTCAAAGATGGAGTTTGTATTCTGAAAGCACGGGAGAATGAGCAGTGAGTTTGCGTTCAGGCAAACTGGTATTAACACCACAGCTCCATCACTTGTCAACAGCCACATGTTAAGAATTACCTCATTTTCTCTTTTCACTCTTAAAAACAAAAACAAAAACAAAAACAAAAAACCTCTCACAGTATATTGGAGAAACGATGTGAGGTAAGGTATAATGGTTTCTAAATTCTGTGTAGTCATTTCCTTAGAAGGTATTATTCATCAGTCACTTAGGGGTAAAAAGAGAAAGAGACAAAACTCTGACAATCTGGAACAAAAAGTCTGTCATCCAAGAAGTCTTTGAAAAGTGACATGACAAAAGGGAGTTGAATTCTTGTGGCCAAAGAGTTTGACTCCAGGTTTCTAGCAGAGCTGAAAGATGCTTGACCAGACAGAACATCTATCTTTCTTAAGTTCATTTGGGACATGAGCAACAAATGAGTTTCTACATTTATCCATTTTTTAAATATCCATTAATCTCAAATCAGTTTCCTACTTAATATTACAACTGTGGTTAATTTGTTTATGCTACATTCTATCTCTCTTTACATAGTTAAATACTTGCTGTTACTCAGACATTTGACAGGAAAAATGCAATAACTGTTTTAACTAATTTCAAAAAGGAAACAGATACTACATTATTAATAGTAACCTGAATTCAACTATTTAATAATGTATGACTGAAGTCATATACAACAAAATAACGTGCTATATTATAAATATCATTATATAGTATAAAGAATTAGAAATCTGATGTCTAAAGAAGACATATAAGATATGCAAAAATGTTATATGAAAACTGGCATGAAACTGACTATATACATAAAGAATAGTTTTAAAAATATCATTTTAAATTAACCAAGATTTCCCCATATAAATTCAAGATATCAAAAATACATAGGCTTTTACTTCAGAATTAATGTATGTTTTTATTGCTGTTTCTTCCTTCATTCTACTAAAAAGCTTAAGCATGTGCACTGTAAGTTGTACAATATTTACCTTTATGCATGTGGAATTAACAAAGAAATAGCAGTCATTCCCAACTTCTGCCATTTTCAATCTCTTGCTGCTAATCCAATGACTGTGTTTTATAAATATGTACAGATTGCAGGATCGCAAATATAAGAACTATCAGTGTGTAAGGGGAAACTGTTCTTTCTTTTCCACAGTCTTTCAGGCTATCAGTAGTATTCCTTTAAAACTGACCTCCGGTTGACAGTATATTACACAATAGCTAATTCTTAAATAAATTTAAATTAGAAGATACCTTCTCTAGCTTTGCAGAAATGTTGAAAGTGGTTACTAGTAATCACACAAACTCAAACTTCCAGAATTTTCCTCATTGTTACATAATCCATTGTTTGCTCATCATAAATGACCTCATATGCAACTGTAGCCTACTTCACCTACAGGAATATCTTCCTTACTCATTATATATCAAGCATACTAAAACACTATCTGTAAATTTAACACTGTATTTTATTTTTCAGTGTATGGTTAAAGAAGAAACACAAATTCATAGTTTCAAAATTAAAATTGGTAAGTATTTCATGAGGAAATAGCTATTTGTATGTGTGATTTGGAAATGGAACCAAGATAAATATACTATCTATATTCCAAGAAAACATATACAATTATGTAAATATATACCTGGTGTTATATACACCGACTTAGGAAAAACCATAGCCAGATTGTAATAGTAATAAACGTACATGAAAATAAAAAGGAGTACCTATTCATCCAGTGACTTGGTTCCATTTTCATCCATCATAAAAGGGGAATTAGCTTCATCTGATAGCAAAGGGTTCCAGCATCCTTGAAAACTAGGAGAATTTGTTGAAAACAAGGTGAAGCCCTCTGATTCCCAAAGGGAGACATTTCGATGAGCAGTTTTCAGTCTCCATCCAAGCATCCTCCCTATAAGAATAAGAATCTAGCAGAACTGAAGAATATTCACCATAGGCCACTTAGAAGCTGACTGGTGCTGATTGATCACACTGGACCAAAGTATGTTTTTAAATTACTGCAGACTTTTAACTGAAATCTCAAATGATCAAGACAAACACAGATTTCCATTGAAATAAAATATGGCAAATGGCCTTAAATTTTTTGAGTGGATGGTCTAGAGTAATAATCTAGAACTAAACAATTTAGCAAAGGTTAGTTTGCTTATAACTGTAAAATAAAAGAAACGAGGCTGTGTTAGAAGTAAAAGAGGGGATAAAGGTTTGGCAAAACCCTTGAAATTATTGATTAATATATAAACATAAGCCTCGTCTTTGGGTTTGCCCTTCTCTCTAACTCTTGAACAGCACCAAGGTGCTCATCTTAAGTCACAGGCTAGTCAGGGAAATTCCTCTAAGAAGTCTTCAAACGTGCATTTCCTCCAGATGAATCCATGACTGAGTGTGAAGTTTCACTAGATGGCCTTCCAAGACTGGGATCAAACACTATTATTGATGAATTAAGTGATTTCACAGGGAAAGGGCTGAAAAATGCTTTTACCTCGGTTGCTGATGAGTAGCTCACATTCCACTAGACATAGCAAAATCGGGTCAAAATCACAAAGGGATTAAAAAAAAAATCTTTCATTGTGTAACACATTAGATGGGTATCTTCTGTTAGTCCTTGGAATACTCAGAAACCTCGACTTTCCCTTTTTAGTTCTTTCCTTTTCCTATCATTTAGTTTTACTTTTCACTTCATTTACATCCTGTCGTGGATTTCATTTTTTACAGAAAGCTATGATTCTACTTTTTTTTTTTTTTTTTAATTTCTTGTAATGAGAAGTGACAGGAAATTTTGTCTTCAAAAACAGATCCAGAAGTCCTGGATTGTGCAGACCAAAACAGACTCAGGTGGAGTTTCTTTTTGGTGTGTGCTAGGTTACTAACGCATCAGAGAAGAAACATCTTTCAGTTATCCTGTAGTACCACTTTAAGGTCGGTGGCTAGGGGCCCCACAACCAGCTCTGTATCTGAACTGGGGGAAGCTGATGGCTGCCATCCTTCTGAGTAACCTGATCCTGTGATGGTCTCCTGGTATGGATTCTTCTGTTTCTGTCAGAAGCCTTGTCCAGGCATTGAAGGAACCAAAATATTGCTGCCGGTCCTTTGAGAGAGAGGCTTAAAGCAGGTGGAATGTTTCTGGAAGATTATCTTTTCTAACACATGGCAGAATGTTGGATCTAGAATATTCTGTGGCAGTTTGGGAAGTGACAGTTGAGAGATGGAAAAGTCATTTGTCTGAGCCCCAAGAGACAAGCTGTTGCTTAAGATTTCTCTAGCATCTCAAAGAAGTTACCAACTTCTTTGATTTTAAAGATTTTAAAAGGCTAAGGAGTTTCCAGTTTCAATACCACAGAGCCAGAACCATGTGGGTAGTCTCTTCCTATTCCCAGCCTCTCACTTTTTGTTTTGTGTAAAATTGTGTATGTTCACCTATGAAAAAAAAATTATGTACCAGAAGAGAAAGATTGTAAAAGGGCCAACTTGGGCCTTTCTCCATCCCTTGATTCTTACTGCAGCAACCCTAAAACTGTGAACTTGTTTTTAGGGATACTTTATTCTTTTGAGAGCCCTCTGGTAGGTACTTACAAGGGAAATGAGGTTATTTAATTTTTTTTCTAAGTGCTTAAATTGCTGGGCAGTTGGATATGTGTTGATAAAGCAATTAGAGAAATATAAATTGAGATGATAAAAAAGAATTACAGAAATAAAAATTGGCTTTTCCAATTACCTAAGATGGTAAAGTCAAAAATCTCCCTATGGTCTTAGGCTTCAGTGACATAGGTCTACTACTAGAATATAATTTTTTTCTTATATAAGCACCAATTTTATTATTTACCATCTAATGTCGTTTTGGACAGTAAGTCAAGTGAAACAAGCTGTTTTCAACCCTGTAGTTGACTCAAGCCCTTTGTTGGATTACCAGGAAAAACTTGACAGCTGTTTTTTGATATTTCTATGGTTTTGGATTTGTCTAAATTTTACTCATTGGAAAGGACACCAAATTATACACCGTTTGATGATTAATTCAAACAGAAGCTTAAAAAAAATCCAGTTCTGTTCATTGTAGCGTTTGTCTTATGTTCTTCCTGGAAAATCAGGTTTTCTGTCTGCATATTAGGAAATGTCTGAAAGTTCTTTCTAAACTTCTCCGGGTTTACAATCCCTTAAATTTCTTAAAGAAAAAGCAGACAAGTGAGTTTCAGGAGAAACGCGCGACACTGCATCCTAAAGTGATTCATCACTTACAACTGGATGTAATTTCCGAAAATATCATCGTTACTAAGTTGTGGCCAAGTACACACAACCGGGCAACGGATCTTTTCTTTTCTTTTTTTATTGGTCATCAAAACATAGGGGAATCACCCACGTGGAGGTGCCAGCTCTATAGCCTCACAGCCGCACTACAACTCCCAGAATGCCCCGCGAATAGGCGGTCGCTTCCGGGCGTGCGTCCCCGCCCCTCGTCGGGGTGGAGCTTGGCGCCGCTGTTTGGATTCCAAGGCAGGACCGAGTACGTTTCCCTGGCCGGTTGCTGCAGGGTTTCCTCCGCCCTGGACCCAGCGCTGTGGAGAGAGACACGGTGGGCGTGGGCACCATGAGGCGCCTGGGCTCGGTGCAGCGGAAGATGCCGTGCGTGTTTGTGACGGAGGTGAAAGCCGAGCCCTCGGCCAAGCGGGAGCATCAGGTACCCGGCGGCGTGAGCTGCTGGGCAGCTCCTCCAACGCTGATCCGCCCGCCCGGGGTGGGGTGGGGTGCAGGGGCGGGGGGCGCTCCAGGTTTTCCCGGGGAGGTTTGGGTGAAGTTCCCTTGTGCGCTGAGCTCCAGCTTCTTCGACCTTCTTAGTTGTAAGGAGTGTGGGAGAGATTCCTTTTTTTATGTTCCACTCCCTGATCAGGTGATTCAAACTTGCTCTGACAGGTCTGAAAACCCACATCGCAATTAACGTGAAAAACCTGAGTAGTGAGATGTGTCTAACTTGGAACGACTGTCGACCAAGAGTCTGATGAGAAGGCACTGTTTACTTGGGGTGTCCTAGGAACCCATGGCCCTGTTGACAGCCTAACGAGGTCACTAAAATCAGACTAGTGTCATGTCTTGCTTAATTCTAACTTTTGAGCTCCCGTCCTAAGGTTTTCTAGTCATCTTGTGTGTTTTACACAGACTGAGCCTTGAGTGAACATAAGTGAATTAATTCATAGATAGCTTTTATCAGTGTGATTCTTTGATATGTAGCAAAGTTCTTTAATGCAGCTAGCGTGTGCATTTGAAATCAGTTCCACACTTCATCATTACTGCTGCACCATTGGCCTTCTGGTCTTGTTGTTCTTGTGGGTTTTGTTTGTTTGTTTAATTAGCATGCAAAGTATGAGTTTTCCTTGTGGCATTCTCATACATAATTTGTGTTGACCCCTTCACGGTCTCCCCCATGTCTCCAGTTTGCATTCCCCCCCCCGCCCCCACACACCATTACCCCTTTCATTTTTTTGCTCTATTACGGCCTCTCTTTGAGAGCCCCATTTTCCCTCCCTCAGGGCCCCCTTTCTTGTTTTTTAGATTAAATGGCCTTTAAGACAAGATGCCCTCTTATCTTTTAGTCCCTGCTGCTAGGAACTGACACATGAATTAGTATTTGTCGAATTTTAATTAAAAGGACTCCGAGAGTCCTCCTGATAGTTTTCCATCAACTTGATGTTGTCTTACCTTTTACTTTTAACTGATCTTTTCATATTCCTTTCTCCTACAATTGTTACTACACTTAAAATATCCTGATGCTGTTTACCGTACTACTTAATACATTGTACCTGACACCCAGAGTGAGTTTCACTATGTTTTCTAGTAAAGCCTTAAGATGAGCACTCAGTGTCTGTATTGCTGGCTATTGAGAACAAAAGTCAGAATAAATTCAAGTACTCTAAAACATTGTCATCCTTGAAGGTTCATTTTAATTTTGATTCTCCACTTTGAATATTGGGTGTGGGGCATAATTTTAAAAATATTATATACTAGTAAAAAAACCTCTCATCTCTGCAGTTAAAACTATCTTAACAGCAGTGTTTACAGTGTAGCATCCAAATACTTATAGTCCAGAATCTCTTATTAATTAGGCCTAGTCTATTTTAAAATCTTAATGTTGAGTTCTTGTTTTCGCAACATCTTTCATCTTGTGAACATATCGAGCACACTCCTGTGCATTAATGCTTTTCTCAGGCTATCCACTCTGCTTAAATTGCCATCAGTGTTTTTCAGTAGATCTTAATAAAACTGATTAGCTTAGTCATCCCTTGATTGGCTGTATCCAGAAATTGCACACCAGCCAGTCGATCTTCGTTGCCTGTTTTCATACACAAATGTTCTTGCTTTTGCAGTAATAAAGTGTTTGGTCACAGGTGAAGGAGAAGTTACTATACCCTTCAGAATCTTGTGTCATCCTTTGTCCATGTAAATAGCAGACAGTAGTAGAGAATGATCCTTGTGTAAGGAACATTTCACACTCATTAACAACTCCATGGTCATAGTAATACTCGCACTTTTATAAATTTAAAAATGTACACACACACACACACACACACACACACACACACACACACACAGAGGCTGTTAGACTACTGTTTTGCCACGGTGGCTTAGAATGATACCTCTTGGTACCAGTATCATATATGGATGAGAAGTCGATCCTGAAGTAGTATATCATGAGCCTGCTACACAGGCCTGAGGACCTGAGTTCAGATCCCCAACACCCACATCTCTGTAATCTCAGAATTATAGAGGGGGACACAAGATCCCTAGAGCTTACCTACCAGAACCACTAAGTTCTAAGCTCAGTGAGAGACTCTTGTCTCTGAAAATAAAGTGAACGATTGAGTACACCCAGTGACCTCTGGCTTTCACATGCACGCATAAAGGCATGTATTCACACACACATGTTCACACACATATACATACATATACGTCACACAAAGTAGTAAATCAGTAATGAAATGAGTATAGTATCCTAGTGCCTAATTTTGCCTGAACCACCATTTCCCTTGTTTTGTGCAGTATTTTTTTTATTAGTATTTATTATAATTATTTTGTAAAGTGAATGTTTAGATTCAGACTATAAAATAGTAGTGTCTGTTAGAAATCAAAATTATAGCTAAAAAGTTGTAAGAATCTCAAAAGCAGCCGGGCGGTGGTGGCGCACGCCTTTAATCCCAGCACTCGGGAGGCAGAGGCAGGCGGATCTCTGTGAGTTTGAGGCCAGCCTGGTCTACAGCGCGAGATCCAGGAAAGGCGCAAAGCTACACAGAGAAACCCTGTCTCGAAAAAAACAAAAACAAAAACAAAAAAAAAAACAAACAAAAACAAAAAAAAAAAAAGAATCTCAAAAGCAGCCTTTTCTTCCAGACTCCATGCTTTATTTTCTTCCTGACAGTGGCAAGGTTGTAAATGGAACTTGTAAACAGCTAATTGTTGGTAAAGATGAAAAGAACAAGAAGGGAATACCAGACAAAGCAAGTAAAAATCGGAGGGAAACAGCAGGCAAGTGATTGTTGGTAGTTTTCAACAGCGGAACCTGGTAGTGGTCGAAATAGAAACCACAATCAGCCTCAGATGTTGAGTACACATTGCGCCAGGAACAGAACTGAGTGTTTCAGTCCCAGGAGGTATGGTGGACCACCTTTGATCACCTGGGGTAAACTTACCATAATAGTTACTGGAAGTTTCACCCAGCAGGCAATGACAGTGGGTCTTGGTCCTTTAAAGATGGCCTGCATACTAGAAAAATGTATTTCATAAAGAAGATTCAGCATCATTGTTGAATGGGTAGCCACAGAGATTTTTAAGGTGGACATCTTAAAGTAAGCATGTGGATTTCAGTTTGCAAGAAAGTCTTTGCCAAACTAATAATAGGAGTCGTCTTCATCTTCTCTTTCTGAAAACATGGCCCAAGACAGAGGATATCACGAGACTCTTCCTACAACTAAGAACCAAGTGTGATTTGAAAAAGTCAATTTTGTAAGGATCTCATTGAAGAGTAGACTTAGTCTTGGAGAATTGTGATTGGTGAATCCATGTGCTGAACCCCCAGGAACACTCTGGAATGAAGTAAGCATGTGATGTAGTTTTCCCTGGACTCTGTCCCGAACACAGAGGCTGATTTGCATTCTTCAGACACAGAATGTCCTGACTATGGGCCTTTTCTCCTGATGTGTCAAATCTGCTCAGATGTCGCCGCCTCAGAGGACTTCCCTGCGCCATTCTGTCTGGTTCTCCTCTTCAGAACTCATCAGTGTAATACTGTTAGGCATCTGATTTGTGTCACAGCCCTCAAAGTGTAGGTTTCACTAAAGGTGGGCACTTTGTATTTCCAGTGTCACGAACGGTGCTTATTGCGTTTAGTGCATAATCACAATAGGCTTGTGCATGTTGAACCCGTGCTGAGGATGAAACAGCATAGGACATGATTCCCAGTTTCCTTGTGATGGATGAGAAGCATGTAAATAAGAGTCTGCTTGGAAAATCAGATTTTACTGTGATCACATTACAAAGAGTTGTGGAGCTGGTGTGGCAGGACAGGAGGGGAATCTGGGAACTAGAGGCTAAAGCAAAAGGATTATGAGTTCAAGGCCGGCCTGGGCTTCAGAGTGAGTCTAGGAGACAGTTGTTTAGAACTAATGAAAGTAGGCACAGTTCAGGTGAGCCTGTGTGTAAAGGCAGAGGCTTTGTGTCTTACACCAGTTTTCTTTTCTCTTTCTCTTTTTAAGCCATTTAAAGTTTTGGCAACTGAAACTCTAAGTGAAAAGGCATTAGATGCAGATGTATACAGTGCTGTTGCAACAGAAAAAGTGGATGGAACATGTTGTTATGTTACTAACTACAAAGGTAAAATACAACTATCACGTTAACTAAAAGTATCATCTTAATCATTGTATAAATCCTGTACATCTGGGATGGGTATTTACTCTTTATGAACTATTAAAACCTAACTAGTAGTTGAGTGAAAAATCACAGTGGTTGTATTTGCTTCTCTTGAGGAGAGAAAGACATGTGACTAACATTAACTTGAAATTCCCGTGAAAGGCTAGGCAGCCTAATAGACAGGTCTTGTATGTTCCCTCATTTGCATAATAAACATTTCTATATCCCTAATGAGGAAACTGAGTCTCAGCCAGGTTTAGTAATCTGTCTAAGACCATTCAGTTAATGAATGGCTGAACAGTGATGGGACCTGGGTTTGTCCAGCCCTGGAACTTGTTCTTATTGTACCACCCTAGAGCTTCCAGCGCTTTCGTTACTGTTGGCCAGATCTCTGATCAGTTACAGACTTTGAAAAAGAAAGTTCACATTGATGATATTAAGGGAAAAAGGCACACTGAAAAGAGAGAATTATTGTTTGTAATTACTAACAGATCGTGAGATTGACTCTCAGTTCCGGTAACAAAAATAGGTAAATGAGCTAGATTTATTCCTTGGTGTCAAGAAATGTCCTGAAATGCACTTTTAAAACTTTCAACTTGTGATAAGATAAAAATTGCCATCATAATTGTACTTTATAATGATGTGTAACTCAGCGGCATTAAGGACATTCACATGGCTGTAGTGATATCATCCCCACTCATCTCTAGAGTATGTCATTGTCTAGAACTAAAACTGCTTGTTGGGAACCCCCTCATGCACCCCTACCTCCACAGAGCCCATCTCTCAGGCCTTAGTTCATTCTACTTTCTAACTATAGGTAACTCAAGTAAATGGACTCAAAAGATATTTGTCTCTTTATGACTGGGTTACTTGTTTAGTTCGGTATTTTACCATGTTAGAGTATATCAGATTGCACACATTTTTTCTTAAATTGCTTAATATGTACATAGCACATTTTGTTCATCCATTCAGTCACTGATAGGCATTTAGGTTGCTCCAACCTTTATGCCATCATGGATAATACAATTAATAATGCTAAATTAGTCTCCAGTATTTTGGGGAGTTATGAACCTGTACATGAGATTACTAGATCATATGTTAATTCTAATTTAGAAAATTTGAGTACCCATCATACATTTTTCATAATGGTCACACAGAAGGTCTGGCTTCCAGATGTTCCAGTTTGTCCATATACCTAGTAGGACTATTACTACTATTACTATTATTTTTGGTGATAGCTAATGGATGTGAGTGGAATCCATTTTATATGTTTACCAATAAGAAGAAAAAAGTATTTAACCAGAAACAATATAATTTTAATCTAGTTCTTTATATTATGTATATGCATAGCTAGTCATAGTATTATAGTATAATTAAAAATTTTATAAACCTTTGACTCTTATATTTGAGTAAGATTTATTAGGCTCTTATATTAAAAAATCTTTAGTGTGTATCATGTGTGAGGTGCATGATGGGAGCAATTAGAGGATTGGAACTTTACTGCTCAAGAATGCTCACAGGACCAAAGATAACAAACGGATAAATACATAATAAAACAAGGATTTCAGAAGCAAGGTTGTCACAGACCAACAGGGATGGAGATGCCAGGGAAAATCTGTATTTTGTCCTGCTTTGTAGCCACAGCAGGACGTATTTTCTCAGGTTAGGAACCACTGATGTGTTCAGGTCACACTTCAGAATGAGGAACTCAAGGTGGAGCCCTCGATGGGGGACACCCTGCTTTTGCTTGTCCTGTAGGTATCTTCTTGTTTAGTAAGCAGTGGCAACAGCAAGCTAACCAGGAGTCTCAGTGACACCAGATGCAATCCAGAAGTCTCACTTTTAGCAACACAGAATATTGGCACAGTGCGCTGAGACTACGCTCCCCCAGGGTTACAGGAAGCCCTCGTCATCAGTGTGCCTAATGACCTGGCCGTGCCAGACAGGCCAGCTTGATTTCCTATGACCCCACATTGCAGTGTGATGTTCAGGGGATGTGTGAACACAGCCACCTGGTTCTGCTCTCATTTGGAGAATATAGGAAAGGACCGTGGACGGTTGTGATAAAAGGAGCATGCATTTTTCTCACAATGGTCATTTAACAAAGTATGCCCTCACACACTAGGATGCTGACTTGTAGGTGCATCTTGTATTTCCTTTGTCCTTCAGGGTTGGTCTTCTTACAGAGCAGACTACAGTTTATTAGTTCTTTTCCTCTGAAATGTCTTGCAAGATGAAGTTTGTTTCCTCTTCACTTTCCCTTTTATTACTGCGGTTTTAGGTCAGCCATACCTTTGGGCTCGCCTAGATAGAAAACCTAACAAGCAAGCTGACAAAAGATTTAAAAAATTTCTACATTCAAAAGAAAGCTCAAAAGGTTAGTGGGGTTTTCTTCAAACTTTTCATAGAGTTGAAATTTGTGGTTTATTGCTATGGTTCTTTCTCTCTCTAGATATCTATCTTGGGGAAAATAATTATATATATTTACATATCTATATCTGCATACACACACACACACACACACACACACATGCACCCCTATACCCCTACACCAATACTGAAAACCATTTTCCCAACCTTTCTGTAACTTCTTTATAGTATCAATCTATTCTATTTAAACATACAGTGTTATAGTAAGAGATATTTTCATTTGGTTTGCATGAGAAAATTTCCTAAGTCATGTTATAACTATCAAAGGGTAATTAATATTTTATTACTGCATTGATGCCTATATTATACATATATACTTATTACCCATTTATACTCATATATGTAACATATATATATATATAAAGTATTGTATAGAGAGTATATTAAAACTCATAAATCTCGCCGGGCGGTGGTGGCGCACGCCTTTAATCCCAGCACTCGGGAGGCAGAGCCAGGCGGATCTCTGTGAGTTCGAGGCCAGCCTGGGCTACCAAGTGAGTTCCAGGAAAAGGCACAAAGCTACACAGAGAAACCCTGTCTCGAAAAACCAAAAAAAAAAAAACTCATAAATCTCATTCAGGAGGCAGAGGCGGGTGGATCTCAGAGTTCGAGGCCAACCTGGTCTACAGAGTGAGATCCAGGATAGCCAAGACTATTACACAGAGAAACCCTATCTCAAAACACCCAAAAAATAAAGAAATTAAAAACTCATAAATCCTCAGAAAATGTTGGCTACTTTAGATTGCAATGTATTTAAGTGGTAGTGTATTGAAAGTTGAAAATTTCCAGTGTTAGTACCCTAATTTGGAGCGTAACCACACTGCAGTGATAGTAGAGAGAACCTTCCACATATGAGAGCGATGTATTTCCTACTTCCACTTTGCATCTGTTCTGTATTTGATGTCTTAAAGTAACAGCATACAATTATCTGACTCTTTGTAGCGTTTCTTTGGAACACTGAGGAAGATTTCAAGCCTGTCCCAGAGTGTTGGATACCAGCAAAGGAAACAGAACAACAGAATGGGAAACCAGTACCTGATGAAAATGGACACATTCCTGGTATCACATAATCATTTTGTGTTCAGTGTAAGAAACAAACAAACAAAAAAAACCCAGTCAGACATTCGTTTTAATCTAGCTTTTCATTTAATTTATAGTGGAGATTTCTGAATCTAGTTTATTGAAAAGTCTTAACAGTTGATATCAAAGACATAGGCAGCAATGTCCCCTCTGGTTTGAATCTTTCTCAAGGATGAGCATATTTTGTAAGATGTTTGCTCAGAGTGGCCTGTTTCTTTCATTTGCAGCAAGTTTTCTATATTGAGAGAGCTTATTCTAGCAATAAAAGTAAAAACAGTAACAGCAAATAGGGAACTGATAAATTGTTCAGCATGATTGGAACAATGATAGAACTGTGGAGCGCTTACTGTATATATTTGTTATCTTTGACACTGGAAGGGTGCTGCAGAGAACTTAGTTTATTAAATGAAAAAACATGACAATATCAGGCAGGAGGGAGAGTGGCCAGTTAGAAAAGAGACTAAAATAAAATTAAAAAAAAAAAAGAAGAAAGTTTTAATGCTATATTAGTATAGTGCTCAGTTGCTCCTGAACCAAGATGATTTTTTTTTTGAAGAATATGTTTAATTCATGGTAATACCCCTACAGAATAAGCAAACGAACTTTTTATGATTATCGAGAAAAATAGTAAAATTGTTAGCTTTCCCACGGATTTTAAGTGTCTCTACGATAGGGAATCTAGAAAATAAGGAGTATTTATAACAAATAAATAAATGCCTGTATCTTGTAATAGAACCCATGGGATAGACGTAACTTTTCTTGAAATACCAGGTTGGGTACCCGTGGAAAAGAACAGCAAACAGTACTGCTGGCATTCGTCTGTAGTGAACTACGAGTTTGGAATTGCCCTGGTACTACGGCATGATCCCGACAAGCCTGGACTTTTGGAAATCAGTGCCGTGCCCCTGTCAGAGCTCTTAGAGCAAACCCTGGAGCTGATCGGAACAAATATCAATGGGAACCCATATGGTAAGGGAAGATGTTTTCAAAAGAGAACTTCCTAAGGGCAACTTGAGAAACATACTGAAGCAGCAATTAACGCATGTGCATCCATTGCCTAGGAGCATATCCTTTTCCGCATATCTTATGCTCAAGAGAAAGTTTATATATGGCTAATCATTGAATTAATAATGCAAAAAGCTGACTTTATCCTACTATCCTTCCCTGTGATAGCTTTAACAACTGTGCATGAAACGCAGTTAACTGAGATGTAGCTTTTTATTGCTTTATAAGTTTTTAGGTAAGTTAGTTGGGTGAAAATGCACTGTGCTGTTAGGTCATTACTTTAGCATTAATAAATATAGGCAAGAGTAAGACTTGGCAACAGATACTTTATAAAGCGTCAGAATGTATACCATAATGAATTGAGTAAATCAGTGGCATTCTGGAGTACAGAATTGAAAGGAGAATCATAAAATAGAATAAGGACTCTAAAGCTGTAATAACTGTAGAGAGATCAAAAGCAGATTGAAGGTGTAGGGAGGTAGCCCAGTCCATAAAGTTCAGATCCCTAACACCCTTGTTAAAAGCTGAGTGACAGTGGTGTGTGCCAGGCCAAGAGCCAGAGAGGCATAGATAAAGGCTATCTGAGGGCAGACAATGTAGCCTAATCATTGAGCTTCAGGTATAATGAGACACACACCCTTTTTCAAAATATAAGGTGGAAAGCAACTGAACAAGATACTCAGTGTTGACCTCCTGTCTCCACAGTGCAGTTGCACGAACATGTACACACCTCTACTCCACAGAAATGTGTATGTGAACACACATATATACATTTAAGTAGGTCGACTGATGGGTATTAAGCTTATATACAGGATCAAAGATGATGTTAGGTAAACACTGAATAATAACAGAATGTAGCTAATGATATAGCACATGCTAGCAAATTTTCTCTGTAAAAATATTTGATAGCCTGTATTTTAAGCTTTGTTAACCATAATTTTGAAATGGACTATCAGTAGTACTTATATGAATGGATAAGGCTGCATTCCACTGAAACCACTTACAGTAGGTGTCTGTCTGGACTTGGTCCACAGGTCACTGTGTCAAGTCCCAGTGTAGAGAGTACATGAAAGTACAATTTAGAGTTTTTGGAAGAAGTGTCACTTGAGTGAGAACAGGACGTAATGCACTTTGGATTATTCTTTACAGAAAATCAAATAAACTTTTTGTTAACATTACTCTTAAATGTTTAGACACTTAGACATTTTCTCTTTCTGAAAAGAGTATGACTGAAAATAGTTAATGGCAAATTTTACCATTTAGGGCTAGGAAGCAAGAAATATCCATTGCACTTTCTTATACCCCATGGAGCATTCCAAGTAAGAAATGTGCCTACGCTGAAGCACAATGACTTGCTGTCCTGGTTTGAAGACTGCAGAGAGGGTAAAATTGAAGGGATCGTGTGGCACTGCGGTGACGGCTGTTTACTTAAGGTAATGACAAAAACAGCTTGCTTTGGATTCTGTTCTTCAAATAAAGATGCGGCACTCAGATTCTCTGGGTAGATTTTTATTAATTTTGGCATGCAGTTAGTATAATTCCTATCATTTTTATAGGCTAAAACAGAAGTGAGCTTATGGGAGTGTCAGAGTGCACAATACACAGATAGATGGTGGTGTCTGGCTAGGCATTGGCTCTACTGGATGTGCTTCCGAGTTAAAGTGATAACACACTCCCTCCTGGGAGCTCATGTGGCACACTGTGTTCTCTGAGACATTCTGTGCCTATTTTAACTCAGCACTTCCTAAACTAACTTATTAGGGAGTTTGTGGAGTAAAAACGTGCCAAGTAGCAGCTTACACAGAATGAATTATCTTCTGCTTTGTGCCCTTGTCCCTAGACTTGTCTGCTTGATTTCTCACTGGTATATGAAATTCATTATGTTCAAAACTGAATCTGTTCTTCTCACTCCTAGCTCCACATCATTCACTGAACTTAGAAACCTGGATTCATTGTCTGTAAGCTCTCCCCATTGCTTCATGCATCTGGTTGTTATCAGTTCTTGAGACGTCTGTTCTTTACACTCAACTAGGTGCTAGTTTTAATTTAGGCCAAGAGTCTTGCTTGAATTATTACTATATTGTGATCCCTAAAACATTCATCTTTCATTTTTAACCCCATCGTGTTCATTCTTTACAAATGAATGACACTACTTCCTGCATAATGCTGCGTGGGTACGTTAAGACTTTCCATGGTACAGCTCCTTCTTAACTTCCCCTAACTGCTTTCCGTTATCATCTGTGAAAACATGATTGTGTGTATTGTGTGACTGTATACTCCTGGGGAGACAGGAACATTCCTTTGCCACAGATAACGCGCTGAGGACAGACCTAAGAAAGGATTCCATGCAAGTGGAGCTTAGTGAGCCAGTGATTTTATTGGGGTTACTTTCAGGATGTAGGTGAGGAGCTGCTTACAAGGAGCATGGCAGACCCAGAGGCAGCAGCATCAATCAGAAGCCCTCCCCAGCTTCAGTGATGGCTCACAAAGGCGGCCTCCTGGGGACCCCCTGCACATCTTGCAGGGGGCTGGCAGCACCTTTGGTGAAAGGAGAACCTTCTCTCCAGCAGTTGTTAGTGCTCTTGTAACCTTGCAGTGTCTTGGGACTCTCCAGAGCTTTGGGGATCTTCCTGAGACTTGTGAAGGTTTGCTTCCTTCTGAGTCTTAAGAACTTCCCTCCAGAGAGGATGTTTTCATGTGGAGGAAACAGCTACCCAACAATGTACTAACCAACTGGAGTCCCAGACTCCCCTGCCATTCTACCACTAATATTCCCTTTGGTAATACTAGATTCTGGCTCACAGATTTCTCTTCTTGTATTCACCAAGACACTTATATTCATTAAATTTTGGAGGAGCCCTTGATTATGTTCCTGGCATTTTTAAGGTACGGGAAGAGTGAACAAAATAATTTCTCTGCCTTCAGGAAGCTCATATTCCAATGGGAAAGATAGCCAGTACTATGTCAAGAACAACTATGGCATTGAATTAAAATAAGAGTAAATTAAGGTAGACCTTACATTGTACCTGGCAGGTAGCAGGCACCCAAAGTAAGTATTTACAAGTAAATTAAGATGCTATTTACAGACTAAAGCTGACGACACTTTTTCCTTCTTACAGGTCCATCGCCATCATCTTGGTTTATGCTGGCCACTTCCAGACACTTACATGAATTCCAAACCAGTTATTATTAACATGAACCTGAACAAATATGACTGTGCATTTGATAATGAGTGTTTGTTTAATCGGTTTTCAAAAATAGATAAACAGAAATTTGATAGGCTTAAAGATATAATACTTGATGTATAAAATGGAAATATAGTTAGAATTATTGCAAACAGTCTGCTATTTTACAGAGGTTAAAATAACTCAAGGGTCTATTTAATTTTGCTAGGTATTTGGCAAAACATGTATAAATTCTAAACATTTATGTATCTATATTTAAAGAAACCATGGGATTTGAATATCTTAACACAAAAATAAATATAAAATAATCCCATCTGAAACTTCCATTTTAAATGGTAAAATTGTTAAACTTACCTTTATGCTTTTAGAAAATTTAAGACATTATGAAAATAGGCATATCTATCATAGCTCATTGTGCACTATACAGTCATAAATTATTCATGTCTTCAAAAATATACTTTTCTACCAAGTTAAAACTAAATATGATTTTATTTTTAAGCAAAAATACAGTATTTTGAGATGAATTCTATAGTTCAGAGACTTCTTGATTTCCAGCTGAAACTTTTAAATTTATAAAATAGTTTTAAATCTACAGTTAAATGTGGTCTTTAATAAATAGGGAAACTATTAGGACTTTCTTCTCTATCTTCTGTCTGTTCAGAAGCAGCAACAGGGCTAGGTAATTCAAATCCAAATTGTTCGGAAAGTTTTTGTAACTTCTCTTCTAATAGAATATTTTTTTTCACTTCTTCCTTATAATTGTACTTCAGGTCTTCAATTTCTTCAAAAAATGAAGGATCAAAATTCTCCAGTTCTTTTTTCAGCTTTTTAATTTCCTCCTGAAAGTCACATGTAGAAACACATATTTTTGGTTTGACATTTAGGAGCTTTGATTACAAACATGAAAACCCAAATAACCCAAACAGTAAAATATCAAGAAAAGTTTTTAAGACTTTTGTTAATAAGGTTCCATTGTACCATATGAGTAACTTAGTAGTGGCCACCTCTGACTCAAGTTGATGAGTGCTTCCATAGCTTTGGGATGGAATCTTTTTCTGCACTGCATCAGATAGTCTCAGAGAGGCAAACAAAAGGGACTCTGCTCTTCACTACACTGAAGTTCCTGTCTTCAGAGTTTTCAGTATTTTCTTTACAGTTCTAACTTTTTTACTTTTATAAATAATGTTTATGATCATGGGAATCCCGGGACTTGTAAAAGTCAAGCACCCGGTGAAGGGAATGTGACCGTGAACGGCTGTTTTCACTACCCAGTGATGAGGCAGGGTTCCCTTCCAGACTCTTGTGCTTCTGGGTCTTAAGGTAGAGCACAGAAATGTTTTAAGGGAAAGATCCCTGGACATAATTCCAAAAGGTACTTAGAAACACTGTTTCCAACATGACCTACAAATTAAAATATTTAAAAAACTGTACATTTGTTATAATTTAAAAATAAATTTATTCTCTAGACCTTTCTATTTGTCTGATTTTTTTTGTTGTTGCTAGCTGTTGTTTAATACAAATTTGTCATGAGTGAGATTATGTACTTAGTAATATTAAGGTAACTGTGAAATGAATCCATGAATTTTTAGGCACATACTTAAACATGCTGATCATAAAAATTGTTTCCCAAAGCTGTTTTTACAAAACACTGGCAATACTCAAGTTAGATATAAATAAGAATTACCTTCAAATGCTGCTTTTCTAGGTCTGACTTTGTGAGCTGGGTCTCCAGGTCATTTATCTTTTCCTTTTGTTGACCAGTATCTGCCAAAACAGTTGTGAAAATTGACTCACATTTTTATGTACTGTGAATGACTTAAAGATAGAGGATTTGTTTCAGAATAAACAGGAAATTTTTGAAGCCTACAGTCTGAAATCATCTGGCACTGTATGGCGGGAACACTGCTCAGGTACTTGTGTGCTACCACTAGTAGGCAAAGTCATTCCACAGTAAGCAAACAGCAGGAACCTTAGAGGTCTGATTAATAAAATCTAACCTGGGGCCAGTTATTGTGGTGAATGCTGGAAGATCAGAGAAGCAGAACAAGCCACAGCCACCTCACTTCGCCAGTTCCTCAGCTGATCCCGTTTCCTCAGACTGGATGCCTCTGATTTCTCATCCAGTTTCAGCTGAACTGCTGCTCAAAAGCCTAAATCTTAACCAGCTAAAAGCTTCGAGTTTCTGGTCTTCACGCCTTATATATCTTTCTGCTTTCTGCCATCACTCCCTGGGATTAAAGGCTCACTTCTTGGGATTAAAGGCATGTGTCACATGCCTGGCTGTTTCCAATGTGGTCTTGAACTCACAGAGATCCAGAGGGATTTCTGTCTCTGGAATGCTAGGATTAAAGGTGTGAGTGCCACCATTTTCTAGCCTCTGTATCTAGTGGCTGTTCTGTTCTTTGACCCCAGATAAGTTTATTAGGGTGCACAATATTTGGGGGAACACAATACCACCACAGAGGGGTAGCTGCTAGGTATTAGAAATATGGGTTATGCCTTTATATGAGAGAAATTCCTACTTTTGAGAGAAAAATCCTGCAACCAGTAAAATTTGTTAGGTACGAAATATACAGGCAAAGGACTAAAGGTAAGCTGGCCATTTATGCCTTCTACCCCAAATAGCTTTCGCTATTTGCATTTAGGTTGGTTTGCACTATGTGCAGAACTTCTAAGACAAGGTGTGTGGCACACACACATGAAGGAGTGCAGTCCTGCTGGTTGGGTAGGAAATGAGCTGTTGATACACAGCACTAAGGTTAGGATACAAAGTGTCATGCCACACTGTGCAAACATTGAAAGGTAAACAGTTTTGTTTTAATGTTAAAGTTTGAGGAAATAATGAAAACAAGTTTTCATGATAAGGACAAGAAGTGTATTAGAGTGCTCTGGTGTGGTCCCCTATAACTCAGAAACAAAGAACAAATATAAGCAAGGTTTCAAATCATTAAAAAAAAAAAGCATTTTCCTACATATGAAGAAAAGATGTAATATTTGTCTTCTGAGACTGGCCTATTTTACTGAGCAAGATGATCTATAGTTCTGTTTTCCTACAAATATTTTTATGGCTGAGAGATAACATCTCTAAATACTCTGACCAGTATATTATATTGGTCAGACACTATAGAAACTGGTTGATACTATAGAAACACACAAAGACAAGCCCTAAATAAAAAACTTGAGATAGCCAACAAGTATTATGAAATACATTACCAGGTGTGCTGCTTTCTGCTCCAGTCTGGTCCTTGTTAACTTCTATCTGATGGATTAATTCTGCTTTTTCTTTATCCAGCTGACTGTTGGCTAATCTACAGTACAATGATAGCATGTTAGAAAAATAAACAATTGCCATGGGATAATCCTCTTGTACACTGTAAAGGTTTGTCACTGGAAATGGTTTAATAAAATGCTGATTGGCCAGTAGCCAGGCAGAAAGTACAGGCAAGGCAACCAAATGATGGGGAGGAGAAGGGTGGAGTCAGGAGTTGCCAGCCAGATACAGAGGGAGCAGGAGATGAACATGCCATGCTAATAAAGGTACCACCACATGGCAGAGCTAAATAAGAAATATGGGCTAACTTAAAATGTAAGAGCTAGTTAGTAATAAGCCTGAGCTACTGGAAACGTCCTTTACAAACAATGGTGCCACTCTGTACAGTACGCAGGCATTTCCTATAAAGTATGTGGTGTACAGTCCTCCAAACAGCATTTTATCAAGCGGATTCTGGTGATGTAGGACGGTAGGATATGCTTAGGAGACGGCAGCGGGATCATCAAGGTAAACATTACTCGCTAGGCTTCCTTGCCTCATTTCCAAACAACACAAATCTAGTTTTTACTAATCTCATCCCTGATGTTATTTTCAAGAGTACTTTTCTTACGATGAGAGGCGGCTGCAAAAACTCCTAGGAGCATGGAATTACTCATTTCTCTTTCATTCGGATTTGTTTCTGCAATGCTAACGTTTAATTTTATGCGGCTAGAGAAATTTAAGTTATAATTTGGAAATACTAATATTGGGTCCCTCCTCCTTTCTGTGTCCAGACAGAATGATTATATAAGAAGGGTAAAATAATAATCAACTTTGAAAAACTCTAGTCTTCAGGTGTAGCAAATCCGGTTGTGTAAAATAATTTTCTAAAAATAAATAAACGGTAAGGTGGTTCAGTGGATAAAGGTGCATGATGGGAAGCTGATGACCTGATTCCAATTCTTGGAAGGAAAGAACCAACTCTTCCAAGGTGTCCTCTGGCCTTCCTTCACAGGTGGCATGCACATACCACACCCTCCCCCAGCATGTACATGTATACACACACACAAACACACACAAAGATGTTAATATTTAGGTAGTCAAATAAACATAATAACATATGTACCTAAGGAGCTGGAGTTCCCGTATAAGCCCTTCATCTGTCTCCACACCTTCAGGAACATTTTTGAGGATCTCAATCTTTAAACACAATGAAAAGTTAGAAGATAAAAGTTCAGCATAGAAATAAGAAGTTTTAAAAAGACCAACTTTTTAATAAAGTTTAAGATTTGAGTTTTGGAAGCTTGAAAGCACAGTTTGTGTTTGTCTATGCATTCAAGCAAGCCATCAATGCTTGAGCAACTCACTGCTACATGCCCAAGGTAGTGAGGACACAGGATACGGGATAGCTGGAATCTCTTACAGAGGCATGTTATATTTACCGAGGGATGAAAAGTAATTATACTGCCATACAAGGAGATGGGGGTTGACAGGGCAGGATGGGGAAAAAGCGTTGTTGGAAAAGAATCTAGGTTGGACAGGGTGACAGACTGTGCTGATCTAAAAGGTCTCCATTTAGGCACAGACAGAAGTTCAGGAGTCAGTTATAAGAACATTGGAAATAGTGGCTAGTGTTCTAGACAGCAAGAGGCATAAAGATCTGAAGCCTAAATGAGTTTCAGCTGTTCAAAGGGTTGAACGGGTTAATTTTGGGAAAACTGGCAGAAGGTGCAAAGTGTCAGCGTTTGTATATAGATACAGTCTGTGAAAAGAACTCCTTCAAAGTTTCATGCCAGGGTGAT